AAATGAGGCGTACGCAAAATATTACACTTTTCCGCATTTATCTATCTGGACGTGAGCGTACAATACGCAAAAAATAAACGCCAGGTCTGGAGGTGGTGTAAATCTATACGCTGAACTCAACCTTCGGCACAACACGCATGAAATTCAAGATATGTACAACAATAAACATATTCCCTCTGGCAAAATTATATGCTGTGTTTTCATTGAGGATCATGTTTCAAAATTTGAATTTGCGCATCAGAAAAAGTCTAATGGAAACACGCAAACTTCGAATAAATCACAGCTCATGAGGACCCTCTATTAAATCTGACTTGTGTGTGTATTATTTTGATCTGTATGTTTTTAAAATGTGAAGCGCTTTGTGATCCTGGACAGTGAAAGGCTCTATATAAATACACTTTACGCAACAGGGATGTGTGACCCATCTATTGCTGTGGCAGGCTCTGCGCTGCGTAATTACGCACGGCTATTTGTATTCCTCATTCACATCTGGTAAAGCAATGTGTTATTTCATTAGATTTGTGTAAGCCTCACACAGACACACACCCCAATAACGCATCGATGGTATTGCTCACTCAAACGTCTCACTGCCCTGTCCAGAGTGCGCAGCGAGTGCCGTGAGAGGTTGCGCCACATGTGCAGAAGTTTTGGCTCCAGAGTTTTCTTTGTGAAATCTGGACCGCAAACGCTCTCTGAAGTGTACAGCGCCTCAATGCGCACTTCTACCCCGAGCCAGGCTGCGTCCAAGACGCTGCAGACGCTTCATTCATGAGAGCCACCGCTGCATAATATATATGAATTAATTCATTCATTCAATCAATCTATATTTATTCACTTCTACAATTCAATAAGGATTTTTCTAATGTATCAAAACATTTTGGCAAATTGCGTAAATGGAATATACACCCAAAATGTACACCTTTTTCAACGAAAGTTTCATAAATGAGAGTGCGTGTGCGTGCGTGTGTGCGTTTGAACCATATTCTTTGAAACCCCAAATCCAGTTAGCCCTTGTAGTTTGCAAGCGAATTTGGCCTACTTACTAATCTGCAGGCCTACCCAAAATAGACTAGTTATGAGCGAAAGCCGCTTGTTGCTCCATTATCCGCGCGCAGCAATAACATGTCTATGAGCGAGGCCCGCAGTCGGGGAACACCGGGCCCTCCGGCGTTTGGAAGGTCCAATGTTCCCCGGGTCCGGTGTTCCCCGCCCCGGGGAACACCGGACCCGGGAACACCGGACCCGGGGAACATCGGACCCGGGAACATCGGACCCGGGGAACATCGGGCCGACCCCCTCCCAGCGCTACGTTTAGCATACAGCCACCGGAGCCCTTTGATTTTTCGAAACCACATGAATGGACAAAGTGGATACGTCGCTTCGAGAGATTTCGTCAGGCAAGTAATCTGTCAACAAGTTTGGAGGAAAATCAAGTCAACACATTGATATACTGCATGGGAGATGAAGCAGATGACGTCCTCAGAGGCTTAAAGCTAACTGAAGAAGAGCAGCTGGAGTACAACAAAGTGAGAGATGGTTTCCATAACTTTTTCATTGTGAAGAAAAATGTTGTGTACGAGCGTGCACAATTCAACATGCGCAAACAAGAGCCAAATGAGACTGTAGATGCATTTGTGACTGCCCTGTATGGAGCTATTATTGTTTCAATAATATTTGTGTGTGCGTAAAAAGATTTGTGCGTGCGTAACCAGATTTGTGTGTGCGTAACCAGATTTGTGTGTACGTAAAAAGATTTGTGCGTGCGTAACCAGATTTGTGTGTGTGTAAAAGAAATATTTGTGCGTGTGTAAATAGATTTGTATGTACGTATCAAGATTTGTGTGTGCGTAAAAAGATGTGTGTGTGCGTAGAAAGATTTGTGTGTGTGTAAAGAAAAAAAAAAAGTACGTTTTACACACAAGTTTTTTTTTTACACACGAATCTTTTGACGCAGTCCTGCCTTCGCAGATTCGCAAGTGTAACTTGGACTGTGTGCGTGCGTAAACAGATTTGTGTGTGTGTAATTTGACATTTGTATCTGTAACAGAACAATCTGTGTGTAAATATCCACGTTGTACGAAGAGAAGAACGAAAAAAAGCCTAAGTGCTACGCACAGGCTCTGTTTTACACACATCTCTTTTTGACACACCTCTGCCGCTTAGCGTGTGTCAAAAAGATTTGTAAGTGTAATGTGGTTGTTCTAGCAGTACACTGTTACGGGCTCCCCCGTTAGAGTTCTTAGAATGGTACAGTCCAGATTTTATAGCGTACCAGAGTGTACTACGGACTGCTGTTTGTAACTACATGCTTATGGCACGCTACTAAAAGAAGCTAGAATGCCAGTCATTTGTTGTGTCTTTATTTATAACGCAAACATGGTGTCAGAAGTGCAAATACACCCATAGCCTGGAGGACTATCTGTGCGGCAGTGAACAGAGTTAAGCAGCGGCGTGGACTCGGTGAATTTTCCGAAGCTAGTATTGCAGGGCTAACAGACAGCATGGCATCAAGCATTCCACCTCCGGAGGAGATGAAGCTAACCGGCGACATCGCAAGTAACTGGGACAATTTTCGAACTGAATTTGAGGACTATTCTTTGGCGTCAGAGTTAGCTGACAAAGATGAGAAAGTGCAGGCTGCTACACTAAGACGAGTGATGGGCAGTGAATGCCGCCACGTTTATAAGCACAACTTGACCCTAACCGCAGAGCAACAGGAAGACGTGAAAGCTATTCTGGATGCATTAGAGAACTATTTCAAGCCAAAAAGGAACGTGATTTTTGAAAGATACGTGTTTGGAAATTGCAGGCAGGATGACAGTGAGCCTATTGATTCATTTGTTACAAGGTTGAGGGAGAAGGCTGCTTCGTGTGATTATGGAGAACTGAGAGAGGAGCTAATAAGGGACCGGCTGGTCCTCGGCATTAGCGATGAAGGGGTGCGACGGCGTCTTCTTAGAGAGAAAGATCTAACCCTGAGTTCGGCAATAGACATGTGCAGAGGTGCTGAAATGACGGACATAAAGTTAAAAATGATGACACCGGATAGGCTCGTGGAGAGCGTAAACATAACTTACAAGCGGCAGCAGCGGCCAACGCAGCGCTCGGACAGGCCTCAGTACAGCATGCAGGGAACGGGCAACGACATCACTTGCAAATATTGTGGTGGCTCACATAAGCGGGGACGTGATGCATGCCCTGCATTTGGGAAAGCGTGCCGCCGGTGTGGGACACAAAACCATTTTGCGAAGGTGTGCATGAAAAAGTCGCGGCCTGATCAGAGAGTGAATGCTGCTGAGAATATAAACAGTGACGACGACGATACTGACCAGATCTACACAGCTGAGAGCATCGGTGCACTGCATGGACGAGGAAAAAAGTGGTTTGCGACACTAAAACTAAACGGTGGATTACAAAGGTGCCAGCTGGATTCTGGGGCTACATGCAACGTGATGAGCATTAAAGATAAGAGAAAACTAGCACCCAATAAACCACTGCTTCCTAGTAAGGCCAGGTTGGTACTATACTCGGGGGAAACGCTGAACTCTGTTGGCATCTTCAGAACTGAATGTGTGGTACGAGGTAGGAGGCATATGCTGGACTTTGAGATAGTCAGAGGTAACCAAAGGCCACTCCTGTCAGGCTCAACAAGTGTGGCGCTAGGTTTGCTGCATTTCACCATCCCAGATGAACTGCACAAAATAGACCAAAGAAGCGCAACACCTCTAACCAAGCAGCAACTTATTGACTTGTATGCAGATGTTTTCACGGATCCTGTCCAGTCGCTTCCAGGGGAAGTCCACTTTGAGCTGGACAGATCAATAGCCCCCACACAAGCTGCACCAAGAAATGTCCCAGTGGCCCTTAGAAACGCTGTCAAGGCCCAGTTAGACAAACACGAGCGAGACGGACACATAACCCCAGTGTCTGAACCAACTGAGTGGTTTAGCAACATGGTGATTGTTAGGCAGCCAGAGAAATTGAGGATTTGCATTGACCCCAAGTCTCTCAATACGGCTTTGAAGCGCTCCCACTACCACATGCCCACTCTGGACGACGTGTTGTACAAGCTCCCAAAAGCTCGATTATTCACACTTGTGGATGCACGTGATGCTTTCTTACAGTGCAAATTGGACAGAGACAGCAGCTACATGACGACGTTCTGGACGCCGTGGGGCAGATACCGTTGGTTAAAGCTGCCATTCGGAGTATCTGTTGCACCAGAGGTCTACCAAAGAAAGCAGCATGAACTTTTGTCAGGGCTCAGTGGCGTCGAACCAATAGCAGACGACATACTGATTGTCGGTTGTGGGGACTCTGATGCGGAGGCAGTGACAGACCACGACAAAAAGCTGCTTGCCTTGATGGACAGATGTAGCGAGATCAAACTGAGGCTAGGTCTTAAGAAGCTGCAGTTCAAAGTCAAGGAGGTTAAGTTTCATGGACATATTCTGTCGGCAGAGGGTCTACGGCCAGACCCAGAGAAAATCAGGGCAGTTCGAGAGATGCCTCACCCCACGGATGCCAAAGCAGTTCAGAGATTTATTGGATTTGTGACTTACCTTGCAAAGTTTCTGCCACGTCTATCAGAAGTGTGTGAGCCACTGCGGAGGCTACTTGACAAGGATGTGATGTTTCACTGGCTGCCAAAACACGATGCAGCGGTGCAGGAAATCAAAAGACTAGTCACCGCAGCGCCAGTCCTGAAATACTACGATGTAACTAAGCCGGTCACTGTTCAAAGTGACGCTAGCCAGAAGGGACTCGGCTGCTGCCTCCTACAGGATGGCCAGCCGGTTGGATTTGCATCTCGAGCACTAACGCAAACTGAACAAAATTATGCACAAATTGAAAAGGAGTGCTTGAGCATTGTGTTTGCGTGTCAACGGTTTCATCATTATCTCTATGGCAGGGAAGAGATTATGGCGGAAACGGATCACAAGCCGCTCATCTCAATTTTCAACAAGCCGCTTCTGAGTGCACCCAAACGGTTGCAGAGCATGCTCCTCACACTGCAGAACTACAACCTCAAGGTAATGTACAAACCAGGCCCAGACATGCACATTAGTGACACACTAAGCAGAGCCACAGTTCCTGCAAAAGTACCCAATGAGGCATACAGCCGCCACTCTGTATGCTGCCTCCAGAGGGCGCAAGAGACCGCTGAACACATAAACCAAGCTGACTACTTGAATGTCACTAGCCAGCGCCTAACACAGATCAGAGGGCACACAGATGAGGACACATGTCTCCAAATGTTGAAATCTGTAGTTCTGAAAGGGTGGCCAGAATGCAAAGAAGAGACACCCACAGCCATTAGAGAGTATTGGACTGTCAGGGATGAGATCAGTGCTCAGGATGGTGTGCTTTTCAAAGGTCAGAGAATAATCATCCCAAGGTCACTGCGTCCAGACATGTTGAAACGGATTCATGTCAGTCACATAGGGGGCGACGCATGCTACAGACAAGCAAGAGACACCCTGTACTGGCCCAATATGCAGGGTGAAATAAAGGATTTTGTTAGCCAGTGCTCGGCATGCAATGAATACTCTCACAGACAGCAGCAGGAAACGATGATGTCACACGCACTTCCTACACGGCCATGGCAAATCCTTAGCATGGATTTGTATAGGCAAGCGGGCAAAGACTTTTTGATAATGGTGGACCATTACTCAGACTTTTGGGAATCTGAGCAGCTCTCCGACCTCTCTGCAGAAACAACAGTCCTCAAATGCAAATCTCAGTTTGCCAGATACGGCCAACCTGATCGTGTAATCACAGACTGTGGGTCCCAGTTTGACAATGAGTTATTCCGGAGATTTGCAAAAGAATGGGGTTTCGAACATGTTATGTCCTCACCTAGACACCCCAAGTCCAATGGTAAAGCAGAGTCAGCTGTGAAGATTGTTAAGAACTTATGCAAACGTGCAGTGAGTACAGGTTCTGATCCCTGGTTGTCTATATTGCAGTGGAGAAATACACCTACAGACGACATGGACTGCAGTCCAGCGCAGAGACTGATGGCCCGTAGGCTGAAAAGTCCGCTCCCCGTCTCGGACAGTCTTTTGGAGCCACGCGTGGTTGCGGACGTGTCAGAGAAGCTCAGGGCCAAGCACCAAAAGGCCAAGCTTTGGTATGATAGATCAGCCAGGGACCTACCTGAACTAAACACGGGTCAACAGATCAGGATGCAGCCGCTGCCAGGAGCCCGGACGGGAAGATGGAGGAGAGGTGTCTGCCTCCAACAGGTGGGCCCTCGGTCGTACCTGGTGGATGTTGAAGGAACTTTGTACAGGCGTAACAGAGTGGCCCTAAGACCAGCCGAAAAGGACACATCAGATAGACCACAGGAAGGACAGGTACCGGATGCGGACAGTGCAAGAGCAGAAAAAGACACGCGACAGAACACAAACGATCAGAAGCAAGCTGAACAGTCTGCAGCCCATTCACCAGAGACAAGGGAATACAGGACCAGCAGGGGCAGGCTGGTAAAGCCACCAGAAAGACTTAATCTATAAGGAAATAAGAAAAGAGATGTTATGTAAGAATAATAAGTTAAAATCAAAGCGCAGAAATGCCCTTGTTTGTTTGTTGTTCTATAACAAGTATAAAAGGGGAGATGTTACGGGCTCCCCCGTTAGAGTTCTTAGAATGGTACAGTCCAGATATTATAGCGTACCAGAGTGTACTACGGACTGCTGTTTGTAACTACATGCTTATGGCACGCTACTAAAAGAAGCTAGAATGCCAGTCATTTGTTGTGTCTTTATTTATAACGCAAACAGCTCTTGCTGACCTGACACCACTCCGTCAACCGGAAGTTTATGCATCACGTGATTGCAAGCGATATACAGTGGTAAACTAAACATCCATGTGAAAAAATAAAAGACTTCTCGCTGTTCTCAGGTCAAATATTTCTCCATCCATCCATCCATTTAATCCATTTCTGGGTCAGGGGGGTGGCAGTCAGAGATGCCACCCAAGTCTCATAGCACCAGCCCCTCACTGACCCTCTGCAGGTGGTGAGTCCACAGGAGGACAGCTGCTCTCTGACTGTGAGCATAGCCTTGATCTTTCAGTGGGGGCTTTGGGCAAAGTGGGGTTAAGTGTCTTGCCCAAGGACACTACGACAGCAGTCATCAGTGGGAGTCGGTGGAGAAGGTGTAGAGGTGGGAATTGAACCCACGACCTTCTGGCCTTAAGGCCAATGCTCTACCAACTGAGCTACTGTCGCCCCCCAGTCAATATTTCTATGCGACTGAAATGTGAATAATTGAGACATTTGTAGTCTTTGAGAAAATTCTTGCTGGATTTGTTTTAGTTTGTTGATTCCATTCACATTCCCACATCACACACATCGGAGCGTTCTGATTGGTTGTTAGAATACCCTCCCATCCCCATCCTTAGCAGACAAACACCTCTCTTTAATCATAAATATCTTTCTCTGATCTCTCTAAGTGCTGACTGTGTCCCACTGCTGCATGTGAAAACCCCTCTGGCCTTTAAGTGTGGAAAAATAAAAACTATCCCCTATTGTTTTAGTGCAGCACTCAGGAGCACATGATGAGGCACACACCTGAGTGTCGCTCTTTCACAGTCTGGGTGCAGTACACAATACAATACAATACAATACAATACAATACAATACAATACAATACAATACAATACAATACAATACAATACAATACAATACAATGTATTCTTGTATAGCCCTAAATCACAACTGTAGTCATCTCAGAGACTTACCAAAAACTACTGAGAATCACCAACACAGATCGGAGACTCAACAGTTAAAACACATAAAGAATATAGACCCCTACATGTTGTAGAATATTAAAGTGTCCTGGATCATCACCACAGTCCTTCTAGTTTATCACTAACTGTGCAACAAACCCATCCTGCATCAGCAAGGAAAAACTCATATGAAATAAAAAGTGAGAAACCTCAGGGAGACCCATAGTTTGAGAAAGGGATCTGCTTCACTCAAGTGTCACCTTTTGGAAAATAGGGCGCAGTACCACCTTTTCACCACTTGCTCTTGACAGCTGACACACATATATATATATATATATACTACTGCTGTAGACCCTGGTGGTTTGGATCAGAGTCTAGTGTAGACCCTGGAGGTTTGGATCAATACAATACAATACAATACAATACAATACAATACAATGTATTGTTGTATAGCCCTAGGTCACAACAGAAGTCATCTCAGAGACTTAACAAAACCATTGAAATCACCAACACAGGTCAGAGAATCAACAGTTAAAACACATGAAGAATATAAAGCACACACAGAAGAAAATGTCCATACATGTTGTAGAATGCTAAAGTGTCCTGATCATCACCAATCCTTTCTGTTGGACACTAACTGTCCAACAAGACCCTCCTGCATCAACAAGGAAAAACTCTTAAAAAACCCAGTGGGAAAAAGTGAGAAACCTTGGGGAGCACTAGGGAAACCCACAGGGAGGGAGACCCATATGAGAAAGGGATCCGCTCCTCCGGACGGACAGGCTAATGATCCAGGACCTAAGCTAGCTACAGAACGTGGACCAGTGGACGCTGAACGTGGACAGGTCCGGTGCAGGACTGAAGCACTCCCAGGCGGGTCGGGCGGGGCAGTCCGCAGGTGTAGATGGAGGAGGCCAGGCTCAGAGATCCCGTCATCGTACCATGAAACAGACAATGGGACAACGGGTGAATAGCAATGAACAAACTACAGTCAGAATCCTAAAAATGCTAAACAGATAAAGTAGATAAAGTAGGAAGGAGGAGAGGATAGTGCTGTTACCATACTTCTCCAGCAGGGGGCTCCCTATGCAGCTTGACTGACAGTCTGAGGAGTTTAACCTTCCCTGAGTCTTACCTTCCTAGCCATATGCTAAACTAAAGAGGACTGTTTTAAACCTAGCCTTGAATAAAGAGATTCATGGATTGCACACCAGGTGTGCAATCCGATCCAAGCAAACCTAATTATATATTATATATCATATACATCATATATACCATACATACCATATATATCATATGTAATACACAACATAACATACAGCATAATATATAACATAATACAGCATATATATATAATATATACACTACATATTATATATTACCTAATTATATGCTAAATTAAAGTAGAGTGCTTTAAGCCTGGCCTTGAATGTGGAGACCGTATCTGCTTCCTTAACATAAATGAAGCTGATTCCACAGTAAAGGAGCTTGGTAGCTAAATGCTCTGCCGCCAACAGTGACCTTTGAGACCTTAGGAACCACCAGACGTCTGGCGTTTTGTGAGCGCAACGCTCGACTTGGTTGATACGACACTAACGTGTCTTGGAGATAAGAAGGAGCCAAGCCATTTATGGCTTTATATGTTAAGAGTAGGATTTTAAACTTTATTCTGTACTCCACAGGAGCCAGTGGAGTGATTTTAACACCGGAGTTATGTGCTCCCTCCTTTTGGTACCTGTTAAGATCCTAGCTGCTGTATTCTGAACGAGCTGGAAGCTCTTCAAAGAGGCTTTAGGGCACGCTGCCAGTAAAGCGTTACAGTAGTCGAGCCTTGAGGTGACAAACGCGTGAATGAGTTTTTCCGCGTCACTTTTAGGAAGGAAATTCCTAATTTTAGCGATGTTCCGTAAGTGGAAGTACGCCGTTTTAGTTGCTTGGCTTATATAAGCCTTGAAGGAGAGTTCTTGGTCAAAAATGACTCCAAGATTCCTCACAGTGTTACTGGGTATTATACTGACATTATCGAGAGTAACCATCTGGTTAGTGAGGGAGTCACGCAGGCGCTTCGGACCGAGTAGGATCACTTCTGTCTTCTCCGGGTTGAGAAGTAGGAAGTTAAGAGTCATCCACATTTTAAGGTCCTTTATGCAGCACTGAGCTTTTCTAGCTGATCTGTCTGATTAGGCTTCATCGACAGATAAAGCTGTGTGTCATCTGCATAGCAGTGGAAATTAATTCCATGCTTTTTAATAATGTTTCCCAGTGGCAGCATGTAGAGAGTAAAAAGAATCGGTCCGAGTACCGAACCCTGCGGCACACCGAATTCCACTCCAGAATAAGGCGACGAGTCCTGATTCACATTGACGAAGTGATATCGATCTGATAAATAGGATTTAAACCAGCCAAGGGCTGTTCCTCTAAGACCTATATCACATTCTAGCCTCTGCAGTAGAATGCTGTGGTCTATTGTCAATCAATCAATCAATCAAATCTTTATTTGTAGAGCACATTTAAAACAGCCTAGGCTTACCAAAGTGCTGAACAGACAGCGAGGAAAAATTATAAAATAAAAACACATAAAATACAGAAATGTATATACAAAAAGAAATCGAAAAATTTGTCTCTGTCTACTTGGTAGTAAAAGCCAAAGAAAAAAGATGCGTTTTAAGCAGGGATTTAAAGTGCTCGAGTGATTGTGCAGTTCTGATGTGCAAAGGTAAAAAGTTCCACAACTTTGGCCCTATAACAGAGAAAGCTCTGTCTCCTCTGGTCTTCAGCCTGGTCCTAGGGACGACAAGAAGGTGCTGATCTGCAGAGCGCAGTGCTCTGGAGGGAAGGTGAGGCTGGAGGAGTTCATATAAATAAGAAGGTGCCATTCTATTAAAACTTTTAAAAACGATAATAAGAATTTTAAAATGAATTCTAAAATATACCGGGAGCCAGTGCAGGGATTGCAAAACAGGAGTGATGTGCTCCCTGCGCTTTGTCCCTGTTAAAAGACGGGCTGCTGCATTTTGCACTCCCTGTAAGCGGCTGAGCTGGGCCTGGTCAATGCCGACATAGAGAGAGTTACAATAATCAAGCCTGGAAGTGATAAAAGCATGAATGGCCTTCTCAAAATGGGCATGTGGAATATAAGATTTTACTTTGCTAAGAACTCTGAGATAATAAAAACTTGTTTTAAGAACAGCATTTATCTGCTTATCAAATTTAAAATGGCTGTCAATAATAAATCCTAGATTCCTGGCGTGGGGCTTTTCATAAACCATAAGAGGTCCTATAGCACTGTCACAGTTCAGCAGAGGGTCAGAAGTCCCAAAGGTAAGTATTTCTGTTTTCCTGTTGTTTAAACTAAGGAAGTTATCTTGCATCCATTCCTGAACTTCCTTCAAACAATCAACAAGTGTCTGTACACAGCTGCTAGTCTGAATGGGCAGATATATTTGGACATCATCAGCATAGCAGTGGTAGGAAATATTATGCTTCTCAAATATAGCTCCTAAGGGAAGCATGTAAAGACAAAATAGGGTAGGGCCCAAAATACTGCCTTGGGGCACTCCACACTTTAAATTGGACGCTTGAGAGGAGAACTGGCCAAATTGAACAGAAAAGGTTCTCTCAGTCAGATAGGACTGGAACCATTTAAGTGCAGTTCCTGTGATGCCCACTTGTTGCTCGAGGCGTGCAATAAGAATATCATGGTCCACCGTATCGAACGCTGACGATAAATCTAGGAGAACTAGAGCAGAAGGGCGGCCTGAGTCTGAGACTGAATAAAGATCATTAAGAACTCTAAGAAGAGCAGTCTCAGTACTATGCTTGGCTTTGAAACCTGACTGAAACTTCTCAGTGATGCTGTAAATATCAAGATGGTCCTGTAGTTGAACGAGAACAACCTTTTCCAAGATCTTAGAAATAAAAGGCAACTTTGAGATGGGCCTATAATTCGACAAGCATGTAGGGTCAAGATTGTGCTTTTTAAGAAGAGGTTGTACCACGGCATGTTTAAGTGTGATAGGTACACATCCTGAATTTAAAGATGCATTAACTATGTTAAGGACCCAAATCCCCACTGTGTTGAACACCTCCTTAAACAGACGAGATGGGATGGAGTCAAGGGGACAACAAGACGGGCGTAGCTTTTTTACAATGTCTGTCACAAATGCTAAGGACACATTTTCAAAACACTCAAATACATTTTGACAGCCATTATCTATATTCATAAAACTGGGCTTACACAACGGAGACTGCCTAATGGAGGCAATTTTGTCATTAAAAAATACAATAAAATCATTGCATAGTTTGTAAGAGGCCACTACAGGGGGAGAAGTGCATGGATTAATCAAAGAGGTCAGTGTATTAAAAAGAACCTGGGGTTTGTGGCAATTGATAGTAACAACGTTGGACAAAAATTGCATTTATTGTGTCAAATGCAGCACTAAGGTCCAGTAGGACCAGCACTGACACTTGTCCATTATCGGCAGCTAGTAGTAAGTCATTTGTGACTTTGACTAGTAAGTATATATATATTATTATATATAATATATATCTATATATCTATATATATATAATATATATCTATATATCTATATATATATATATATATCTATATATCTATATATATATATATATATCTATATATCTATATATATATATATATATATATATATATATAATATAATATATATATATAATATAATATAATATATATAATATAATATAATATATATATAATATAAATATATATTCTATATAATATATAAAATATATATAATATATATATATATATATATATATATATATATATATAAAATATATATATATATATGTCCTCCCAGACTGATTCTCTGGGTCTTTTGAACCGTCACAGAGACACGCCCCTGACACAGATCTGACACAGCGCCCCCTGCGGCAGAGACAGGGACTGTAGCTGTTCTCTGTCTCTTTGTGAAGCGGCGCGAGACTGTGTGTGTTTGTGTGTGTTGTGTGTCACGTTAGCGCGGTGTGTTGTGTGTCTCTGTTCCCGGGAGCTGTACGGATTCCTCCCCCGGTGCCCCCCCCCCTCGGCCCCGGGCTCCCCTCCCCCTCCAGCCGCCTCTCGACTCCTGTTTCCGGTGTCCAGGCTCCGGAGGATGGCGTCCGTCCGCATCTGCAGCAGTCAGCCCCGGGAGAGACCGAGCCGATAGACCCAGTCCCGAAGAGCTGCTGCGGTCCTGCTGCAGTCCTGGTTCTTTCTGGTGAGTCCCATGGTCCTCCTGGTTCACCGCGGCTGTGCACTGAGCTCTGCGGGCTTTGGGCGCCTGTCTTCCCGCACCACAGCCCACAGGCCTCGGTGCCCGGTCAGAGCCACCGGGAGCGTGTTCCCGGTGCACGTTGTTCCGTGCACAGTGTGGCTCTGCGGGGGGCACTGCAGACCGAGCTGCTTTTGTTCCTTTTCCACCTTCCGTTTGTCTGTTAGCATCGTTAGCATTAGCCACAAGCTAACGTCATTTTTTTACGTTAAGTCAAATGTGTCGCAAAAGTGGTTTATGGGCATCACAGACTGACGTCACAGACATCAAAGCATCACAGACTGACGTCACAGACATCAAAGCATCACAGACTGACGTCACAGACATCAGTGACCCGAGGTTTGTGTCCAGGAAACGGAACTTCATCCTCTTCTCCTCTCTCTTCCTCTCTCCTCCTCCTCTCTCTTCCTCTCTCTCCTCCTCCTCTCTCTTCCTCTCTCTCCTCCTCCTCTCTCTTCCTCTCTCTCCTCCTCCTCTCTCTTCCTCTCTCTCCTCCTCCTCTCTCTTCCTCTCTCTCCTCCTCCTCTCTCTTCCTCTCTCCTCCTCCTCTCTCTTCCTCTCTCTCCTCCTCCTCTCTCTTCCTCTCTCCTCTCTCTCCTCTCTCCTCTCTCTCCTCCTCCTCTCTCTTCCTCTCTCCTCCTCCTCTCTCTTCCTCTCTCTCCTCCTCCTCTCTCTTCCTCTCTCCTCCTCATCCTCTCCTCCTCCTCTCTCTTCCTCTCTCCTCCTCATCCTCTCCTCCTCCTCTCTCTTCCTCTCTCTCCTCCTCCTCTCTCCTCCTCCTCTCTCTTCCTCTCTCCTCCTCATCCTCTCCTCCTCCTCTCTCTTCCTCTCTCCTCCTCATCCTCTCCTCCTCCTCTCTCTTCCTCTCTCTCCTCCTCCTCTCTCTTCCTCTCTCCCCCTCCTCTCTTCCTCTCTCCTCCTCCCTCTCTCTCCTCTTCTCCCTCCTCCTGCTCCTCCTGGGCCGTGATACCATGTTTAGGTCTTCATTGTGTCTAAACTGGTCAAACTTGATAGTTTCCTGATGCTGAAGTGTGTGTGCGCCTCCTGCCTCCCACTTGCAGCTCTAACCTGCGCCTCCTGCCTCCCACTTGCAGCTCTAACCTGCGCCTCCTGCCTCCCACTTGCAGCTCTAACCTGCGCCTCCTGCCTCCCACTTGCAGCTCTAACCTGCACCTCCTGCCTCCCACTTGCAGCTCTAACCTGCGCCTCCTGCCTCCACAGATCGAGCTCTTGTTTCTGATTGGGTGAGAGCAGTTGAAGATGACGGAGGCGTGGCAGCAGCAGGCGGCGCCCACGGTGGTGCACACTCTGCCGCAGGGCGCCGAGAGCGCTCTGGGCTGCACGGTGTACGGCGTGGTGCTGCAGCCGGACAGCGGCGCCCTGCAGCAGGTGCCGCAGGTGCAGCAGCCGCAGATGCAGGTCACCAAGTGTAATGCGTGTGGGCAGGACATCTCGCACATGGCCAACCCGCTGGAGCACCAGTGCATGGTGACGCAGGACCGCTCCTTCCAGTGCACGCAGTGTTTGAAGATCTTCAGCCAGGCCACGGATCTGCTGGAGCACCAGTGCGTCCAGGTCGGCATGGTACGTGTCCTCTGGTATCTGACCAGGAACCAGGAACCATTCTAGACTCTCTCTGATCTCTCTCTCTGGTCTCTCTCTGGTCTCTCTCTCTGGTGTCTCTCTGGTCTCTCTCTCTGGTCTCTCTCTGGTCTCTCTCTCTCTGGTCTCTCTCTCTGGTCTCTCTCTGGTCTCTCTCTCTCTCTCTCTGGTCTCTCTCTGGTCTCTCTCTGGTCTCTCTCTGGTCTCTCTCTGGTCTCTCTCTGGTCTCTCTCTCTGGTCTCTCTCTGGTCTCTCTCTCTGGTCTCTCTCTGGTCTCTCTCTCTGGTCTCTCTCTCTGGTCTCTCTCTGGTCTCTCTCTGGTCTCTCTCTGGTCTCTCTCTCTGGTCTCTCTCTCTGGTCTCTCTCTGGTCTCTCTCTTCTCTGGTCTCTCTCTCTGGTCTCTCTCTTGGTCTCTCTCTGGTCTCTCTCTGGTCTCTCTCTGGTCTCTCTCTCTGGTCTCGTCTCTCTCTCTCTGGTCCTCTTTCTCTGGTCTCTCTCTATGGTCTCTCTCTGGTCTCTCTCTTGGTCTCTCTCTCTGGTCTTCTCTCTGGTCTCTCTTGGTCTCTCTCTGGTCTCTCTCTCTGGTCTCTCTCTATGGTCTCCTCTCTGGTCTCTGGTCTCTCTATGGTCTCTCTGGTCTCTCTGGTCTCTGGTCTCTCTGGTCTCTCTCTCTGGTCTCTCTCTGGTCTCTCTCTGGTCTCTGATCTCTCTCTGGTCATCTCTCTCTGGTCTCTGGTCTCTCTCTCTCTGGTCTCTCTCTCTCTCTCTCTCTCTGGGTCTCTCTCTCTGGTCTCTCTCTCTGGTCTCTCTCTCTGGTCTCTCTCTGGTCTCTCTCTGGTCTCTGGTCTCTCTCTGGTCTCTCTGGTCTCTGGTCTCTCTGGTCGCTGGTCTCTCTCTGGTCTCTCTCTCTGGTCTCTCTGGTCTCTCTCTCTCTGGTCTCTCTCTGGTCTCTCTCTCTGGTCTCTGGTCTCTCTCTGGTCTCTCTCTCTGGTCTCTGGTCTTTCTCTGGTCTCTCTCTGGTCTCTCTCTCTGGTCTCTGGTCTCTCTCTCTGGTCTCTCTCTGGTCTCTCTCTGGTCTCTCTCCCACCTGTTCACAGTCAATGGAGCACCTCCAGACCTTAGTATGAAATGTAATTTGTACTATGGTGTGGTACGACCAGGCTAAGAATGTGGTAGTTCTTTACTCTTGTGTTTGTGTAGTTCCTCTGTCTGCCTGCAGGGGGAGCAGTGTATTAACTGTAGTTCCTCTGTCTGCCTGCAGGGGGAGCAGTGTATTAACTGTAGTTCCTCTGTCTGCCTGCAGGGGGAGCAGTGTATTAACTGTAGTTCCTCTGTCTGCCGGCAGGGGGAGTAGTGTATTAACTGTAGTTCCTCTGTCTGCCTGCAGGTGGAGCAGAAGCCCTTTGTGTGTGGTGTATGTAAGATGGGTTTCTCGTTGCTAACGTCGTTAGCGCAGCACCATAACTCTCACGGTAACGGCAACAACCCGATGAAGTGCTCTATCTGTGAGAAGACGTACCGACCCGGCTCCGGGAACGTGACGCCCACCTCCTCCGCCGCCAACCCGCAGCAGCCCAGCGGCGAGGCCTCAGGGGGTGTGGCCTCCATCGACGACGAGTCTCCGCCCGCCTTCGAGGCCAACTCCCCCGACCGGCCGTACAAGTGCTCGGTGTGCCACAAAGGCTTCCGCCACCTGTCGGAGCTGACGCGGCACGAGCGCGTGCACACGGGCGAGAAGCCGTACAAGTGCGACCAGTGCGACAAGAGCTTCAGCCAATCCTCGCACCTGGCACACCATCAACGCACACACAGCTCCGAGCGCCCGTACAAGTGCACCGTGTGCGAGAAGAGCTTCAAGCACCGCTCCCACCTGGTGCGCCACATGTACGCGCACACCGAGAGCGAGCACCTGTTCAAGTGCAACCTGTGCGAGATGCACTTTAAGGAGTCGTCGGAGCTGCTGCACCATCAGTGCCACCCCGAGGGAGAGCGCCCCTTCAGCTGCGACTCCTGCGGCAAGAGCTTCAAGCGTCCGTCCGACCTGCGGCAGCATGAGCGCACGCACTCGGAGGAGCGGCCGTTCCAATGCGACGAGTGTCAGATGAGCTTCAAGCAGCAGTACGCGCTGGTGCGCCACCGCCGCACGCACAAGAACCCTGCCGACCGCCCCTTTAAGTGCAACCTGTGCGACAAGGGCTTCCTGCAGCCGTCGCATCTGCTGTACCACCAGCAGGTGCACGGCATGGAGAGCCTGTTCAAGTGCGCGTCCTGCCAGAAGTCCTTCAGCCAGAGCGGCGAGCTGCTGCGCCACAAGTGCGGCGGCGAGGTGGAGAAGCCGTACAAGTGCGACGTGTGCGGCAAAGGCTACAAGAAGAACTCCACGCTGCAGCGCCACCAGAACTCGCACTGCACCGAGAAGCCGCTCAAGTGCTCTCTGTGCGACAAGCGCTTCGTCTCGTCCTCAGAGTTCGTGCAGCACCGCTGCGACCCCACGCGCGAGAAGCCGCTCAAGTGTCCCGACTGCGAGAAGCGCTTCCGCTACTCGTCCGAGCTGCAGCGCCACCGCCGCGTGCACACGGGCGAGAAGCCCTTCAAATGCGCCAGCTGCGACAAGAGCTTCAAGCAGCGCGAGCACCTGGCCAAGCACCAGAGCGTGCACTCGCGAGAGACGCAGTTCAAGTGCGTCTGGTGCGGAGAGAGGTTTGTGGATATGGCGGCGCTGCAGGAACACACGGCACAGCACACCGGGGACGCCGACAACTTCACCGGCGAGGAGCAGTGCATCTCCTAAAGCAGACTGCAGAGAGCCGCGGTGAGGGGCCGCAGTTTAGAGCCTGTGTTCGACTTCTGTTATTTTAGTTTAAACGTATTCCTCACTTTGGACACAGCACTTTAGGGATTGGCTGAGAACCGGTAATGGACACATGGTTAAGGAGGCCCCCTTTACCATCTATGGCGTCGCATCTATGATGTCGCATCTATGGTGTCGCATCTATGGTGTCGCATCTATGGTGTCGCATCTATGGCGTCGCATCTATGGCGTCGCATCCATGGCATCGCATCTATGATGTCGCATCTATGGTGTCGCATCTCACATCTATGATGTCGCATCTATGGTGTCGCATCTATGATGTCGCATCTATGGTGTCGCATCTCGCATCTATGATGTCGCATCTATGGTGTCGCATCTCACATCTATGATGTCGCATCTATGATGTCGCATCTATGGCGTCGCATCTATGGTGTCGCATCTATGATGTCGCATCTATGATGTCGCATCTATGATGTCGCATCTTTGATGTCGCATCTATGGTGTCGCATCTATGGTGTCGCATCTATGGCGTCGCATCTATGACGTCGCATCTATGATGTCGCATCTATGATGTCGCATCTTTGATGTCGCATCTATGATGTCGCATCTATGGTGTCGCATCTATGATGTCGCATCTATGGTGTCGCATCTATGATGTCGCATCTATGATGTCGCATCTATGATGTCGCATCTATGATGTCGCATCTTTGATGTCGCATCTATGGTGTCGCATCTATGGTGTCGCATCTATGGCGTCGCATCTATGATGTCGCATCTATGATGTCGCATCTATGATGTCGCATCTATGATGTCGCATCTATGATGTCGCATCTATGATGTCGCATCTATGATGTCGCATCTATGATGTCGCATCTATGATGTCGCATCTATGATGTCGCATCTATGATGTCGCATCTTTGATGTCGCATCTATGATGTCGCATCTTTGATGTCGCATCTATGATGTCGCATCTTTGATGTCGCATCTTTGATGTCGCATCTTTGATGTCGCATCTATGATGTCGCATCTATGATGTCGCATCTTTGATGTTGCATCTATGATGTCGCATCTATGGTGACCTCATTAGGGCTGGGGTAGACTCTAAGGGTGGGAGGACCAGACTGGCCTCGGGTCTGGGCCTCGGGTCTGGGCCTCAGTCCAAACTGACGGATTGCCCCGGGCGGTGATGTTGCCAAATATAGAAAAATACTTTGTGGTCAAGAAAATGCATTATTTTAAAAACAAAATAGAAGTTATTGAGAACCGTCAGATTCAGTCTTTTACACAACATTAATGTTACAGATGCTACACGTTAGCGGCTAAAGGCTCTTTACTGTTGGCTAAAGCTAGGACTCATGTGTTCTTATCGTCATGGTTACGGTGACCCGGAGCTGCCAATGTTCAGTGATGATACGGTTAAAACAACTGTTACAGACCGTTCAAACACCCAGGACCGAGGCTGTAGACCCAGGACCGAGGCTGTAGACCCAGGACCGAGGCTGCAGACCCAGGACCGAGGCTGTAGACCCAGGACCGAGGCTGTAGACCCAGGACCGAGGCTGTAGACCCAGGACCGAGGCTGCAGACCCAGGACCGAGGCTGCAGACCCAGGACCGAGGCTGCAGACCCAGGGCCGAGGCTGTAGACCCAGGACTGTGGCTGTAGACCCAGGACCGAGGCTGCAGACCCAGGACCGAGGCTGCAGACCCAGGACTGAGGCTGTAGACCCAGGACTGAGGCTGTAGACCCAGGACTGAGGCTGTAGACCCAGGACCGAGGCTGTAGACCCAGGACCGTGGCTGTAGACCCAGGACTGAGGCTGTAGACCCAGGACTGAGGCTGTAGACCCAGGACTGTGGCTGTAGACCCAGGACTGAGGCTGTAGACCCAGGACTGAGGCTGTAGACCCAGGACTGAGGCTGTAGACCCAGGACTGAGGCTGTAGACCCAGGACTGAGGCTGTAGACCCAGGACCGAGGCTGTAGACCCAGGACCGTGGCTGTAGACCCAGGACTGAGGCTGTAGACCCAGGACTGAGGCTGTAGACCCAGGACTGTGGCTGTAGACCCAGGACTGAGGCTGTAGACCCAGGACTGAGGCTGTAGACCCAGGACTGTGGCTGTAGACCCAGGACTGAGGCTGTAGACCCAGGACTGTGGCTGTAGACCCAGGACTGAGGCTGTAGACCCAGGACTGAGGCTGTAGACCCAGGACCGAGGCTGTAGACCCAGGACCGAGGCTGTAGACCCAGGACCGAGGCTGCAGACCCAGGACCGAGGCTGTAGATAAAAAAACAATCCACATTTCTTGCCAACTGTTCTCTACATAACTGTATCTGCAACTTTGCCAAAACAAAGCTTCTGGTCACCGTAGCAACCGTAAACTGCTTAAGCTAAAATGGCGCCAGCTCTTCGCTCCTTTTTCTTGTTCTTTATTATTGATTATTTACTGTGTCGTCCTTTTAGAAACATGTTTTTGAGAAAAGACTTGAATGAAAAAGACTTTGGACTCTAAGTTTCTGTTGTGGACCTGCATGTTGAGAACCCGGTCCCTCTAAGGCCAGAACCTTCGGACCCTGAACTGTGGAGGACGTGCCTTCTCAACGCTGTGTTCTTTGGTTATATATATATATATATAAACTGTTCTGTTGTGTTTCTCCCGACAGTATTTGTAGTTAGCATCATATGTTCGTGCATGAATATTTATCACTCTTTACTCACTGTTGTAATATAGTTTTGTTATTTTAGAAAACATCCTACGAAAAGTAAAATACTGTGGATTGTGAACCTTGTATAGCTGTGTCTATTTAAAACACGTGTTGTTGCTTTGTATCGGCCGGTTCTGTCCACGCCTGTGCGCCGCAGCGGGCTAGCTAGCTCACCGTTAGCATTAGCTATTTACATTTATTTTAATGTTCAAAACTGATTTTATATCTGCCACCACATTAGCTTAGCATCCTTAGCTTCAGGGCTGTTAGCGTGACGAGGCCTTTGGTCCCATTGAAGCTAACACCCTGTGATGTCACATGTATAATAGATCCATGACAGTATAAAGTATTTGCTATGTGAGCTAATGGCGTTAGCTAGCCCGCAATGGCGCATAGAGCCTTTCATACAGAGGAAACAGAAACGTGGGATAATGAGGGTTGCATCTGCAGACTCCTGTTGTGTCCTTGAGCAAGACTCTTCCCTTGTGGGCTCCTCGGAGTCCAACCCTCACCCGTGTATTTACAATGATTTATTAAAGTCACTATTAGTGATGTCAGAGTAAACATGACTTTATTCTCCACAGACGGAAACATGAGACACGTCCCACGTTTCTGTTTTTCAAATGTCCCGGATGTGAGAGTGGGAGGAGTCTGAACGTGCTACGCTGCATCCGTTCTACTGCCGCGTCCCTCAGAGCCCTCCCGGTCCCTCCCCCGGTCCCTCCCCCGGTCCCTCCCCCGGTCCCCCCCCGGTCCCTGTAGGACTCAGACCCGTGTCACGCTTTCACCTCAGACTCTGTAAAAACTGTGGTTTGGGACGAAACAGTAAAAGATGTTTCACTGTTGAAACACAGACCTGCAGAGGGTTTTAGCTCCATCCAGGCTCACATCAGGCCCCTCTGCACATTTGGAATGTCTCCAGTCACAGTGTAGTCTCCACGTCCACCACTAGAGGGCGTGGTTCTCCATCAGTGGAACATGACGTGTTTGGTTTTTAATCTTCTGAGCCTTAAACATAAAAAACATTAACTTTGTACTTGTTTGACATTTGGATCTAAATCTAACATGGCTCAGTCCAACATTTATGAGTCCAAATATAGGAAAGTGAGGTACCCCAGCTTTAACCAGGGGATTATGGATCAGGAAAGTGAGGTACCCCAGCTTTAACCAGGGAAGGTGTGGGTGCCTGAAGCTCAGTCTGGAGGGAGCTAAAGCTGAAGCTCTGAAGGACACTTCTTCTTCTTCTGTTTTGTTTCTGTCCTAAACGTGGCAGAGACAGATGAGCGGCTGCAGGGTCCTAGCTCCCGCGGTTATCGTGTATATTATGAACTTGTATCCGACACCTGCAGTATAAATAACTCAAATAGTAGATGTTTTTTTGGAGTTTGGACAAAGGGACGGACAGAAACTGATGTGACTCTTGTTGATACTGTAAACTTACAATAAACACCTTTAACTCCAGTGTTTTCTCTTTACGTCATACAAACATCCAGCCAACTCCATCTCCACCGCCACAGACCTGTAGCTCAGCATATACAGCTGTACACTGGCTCTGATGGTGCAATACAGCTGTACACTCTGATGGTGCAATACAGCTGTACACTGGCTCTGATGGTGCAATACAGCTGTACACTCTGATGGTGTAATACAGCTGTACACTCTGATGGTGTAATACAGCTGTACACTCACTCTGATGGTGCAATACAGCTGTACACTCACTCTGATGGTGTAATACAGCTGTACACTCTGATGGTGCAATACAGCTGTACACTCACTCTGATGGTGTAATACAGCTGTACACTCACTCTGATGGTGCAATACAGCTGTACACTCTGATGGTGCAATACAGCTGTACACTCTGATGGTGCAATACAGCTGTACACTCTGATGGTGTAATACAGCTGTACACTCACTCTGATGGTGCAATACAGCTGTACACTCACTCTGATGGTGTAATACAGCTGTACACTCACTCTGATGGTGCAATACAGCTGTACACTCTGATGGTGCAATACAGCTGTACACTCTGATGGTGCAATACAGCTGTACACTCTGATGGTGTAATACAGCTGTACACTCACTCTGATGGTGTAATACAGCTGTACACTCACTCTGATGGTGTAATACAGCTGTACACTCTGATGGTGCAATACAGCTGTACACTCACTCTGATGGTGCAATACAGCTGTACACTCACTCTGATGGTGCAATACAGCTGTACACTCACTCTGATGGTGCAATGCAGCTGTACACTCTGATGGTGTAATACAGCTGTACACTCACTCTGATGGTGCAATACAGCTGTACACTCACTCTGATGGTGTAATACAGCTGTACACTCACTCTGATGGTGCAATACAGCTGTACACTCTGATGGTGCAATACAGCTGTACACTCACTCTGATGGTGCAATACAGCTGTACACTCTGATGGTGCAATACAGCTGTACACTCTGATGGTGTAATACAGCTGTACACTCACTCTGATGGTGTAATACAGCTGTACACTCACTCTGATGGTGTAATACAGCTGTACACACTGATGGTGTAATACAGCTGTACACACTGATGGTACAATACAGCTGTACACTCTGATGGTGCAATACAGCTGTACACACTGATGGTACAATACAGCTGTACACTCACTCTGATGGTGTAATACAGCTGTACACTCACTCTGATGGTACAATACAGCTGTACACTCTGATGGTGTAATACAGCTGTACACTCTGATGGTGCAATACAGCTGTACACTCACTCTGATGGTGTAATACAGCTGTACACTCACTCTGATGGTACAATACAGCTGTACACACTGATGGTGCAATACAGCTGTACACTCTGATGGTGTAATACAGCTGTACACTCACTCTGATGGTGTAATACAGCTGTACACTCTGATGGTGCAATACAGCTGTACACTCACTCTGATGGTGCAATACAGCTGTACACTCACTCTGATGGTGCAATGCAGCTGTACACTCTGATGGTGTAATACAGCTGTACACTCACTCTGATGGTGTAATACAGCTGTACACTCACTCTGATGGTGCAATACAGCTGTACACTCACTCTGATGGTGCAATACAGCTGTACACTCACTCTGATGGTGTAATACAGCTGTACACTCACTCTGATGGTGCAATACAGCTGTACACTCTGATGGTGCAATACAGCTGTACACTCACTCTGATGGTGCAATACAGCTGTACACTCACTCTGATGGTGTAATACAGCTGTACACTCTGATGGTGCAATACAGCTGTACACTCTGATGGTGCAATACAGCTGTACACTCTGATGGTGCAATACAGCTGTACACTCACTCTGATGGTGCAATACAGCTGTACACTCACTCTGATGGTGTAATACAGCTGTACACTCTGATGGTGCAATACAGCTGTACACTCTGATGGTGCAATACAGCTGTACACTCTGATGGTGTAATACAGCTGTACACTCACTCTGATGGTGCAATACAGCTGTACACTCACTCTGATGGTACAATACAGCTGTACACTCTGATGGTGTAATACAGCTGTACACTCTGATGGTGTAATACAGCTGTACACTCACTCTGATGGTGTAATACAGCTGTACACTCACTCTGATGGTGCAATACAGCTGTACACTCACTCTGATGGTACAATACAGCTGTACACTCTGATGGTGTAATACAGCTGTACACTCTGATGGTGTAATACAGCTGTACACTCACTCTGATGGTGCAATACAGCTGTACACTCACTCTGATGGTGCAATACAGCTGTACACTCTGATGGTGTAATACAGCTGTACACTCTGATGGTGCAATACAGCTGTACACTCACTCTGATGGTGCAATACAGCTGTACACTCTGATGGTGCAATACAGCTGTACACTCTGATGGTGCAATACAGCTGTACACTCTGATGGTGCAATACAGCTGTACACTCTGATGGTGCAATACAGCTGTACACTCTGATGGTGCAATACAGCTGTACACTCACTCTGATGGTGCAATACAGCTGTACACTCACTCTGATGGTGCAATACAGCTGTACACTCACTCTGATGGTGCAATACAGCTGTACACTCACTCTGATGGTGCAATACAGCTGTACACTCTGATGGTGCAATACAGCTGTACACTCACTCTGATGGTGCAATACAGCTGTACACTCACTCTGATGGTGCAATACAGCTGTCACAGTGTGCAGCTTTAATGTACGTTGTAAATATATGAAAGAATAAATAAATAAAAGTGAAACCTGAAACATGGCGCTAATGGACTGTGACGTGGAGAAACATACTGTTGTTTGGACGGATTTAAACTAAACTAAAATAAGTTCAAACGACACATTTCCAGTTCCGGGGGAAGTTTCCTGCGGAGACCAGCCCCCCTCTCCCCTCCCTTCAACATTACACCTTAAATCACAATAAATAAATGTGTAGAACTCTTCAAACTCTGAAACTGAACTGTGGGATCCAAGAAACGTGAACGAACCCTCCCACAACCCGAAAACAAGTCTCCTCTGCCACAACCTCCTAACTCAGCCAGTTAGCATCAGCCTGTTAGCATCAGCCTGTTAGCATCAGCCTGTTAGCATCAGCCTGTTAGCATCAGCCTGTTAGCATCAGCCTGTTAGCATTAGCCTGTTAGCATTAGCCTGTTAGCATTAGCCTGTTAGCATTAGCCTGTTAGCATAGCCAGTTAGCATTAGCCTGTTAGCATTAGCCTGTTAGCATCAGTCTGTTAGCATCAGTCTGTTAGCATCAGCCTGTTAGCATCAGCCTGTTAGCATTAGCCTGTTAGCATAGCCAGTTAGCATTAGCCTGTTAGCATAGCCTGGCTGCCTGCTCTGCCGTCACCTCTGCGCCTCTGAACAGGTATTTCGCACATGTTCATGTGTTGTTTGGTTCCTGTCTCCACAGCCGCAGTGAGACCTCAGCGCGGCTCCTTCTCAGCCACAGATGGATTTAATCCTGAAATAGTCTCAGGTTTATGCCTTTCTGAGGCTGGAGGATGTTAGCTCGATGCTAGCTCGATGCTAGCGCTGTCACACTGCTGCTGGGGCTTGATCCAAATGCACAGGTTGGAGGCACTTATTGTGTTTCTAAATGACTTCTACAAACATGAAGGTTTGTGTTCTTAGTTATTCACAAAGAAGCGCCGTGGACCATTGCTGATCATTGTGGATCATTGCTGATCATTGCTGATCATTGTGGATCATTGCTGATCATTGCTGATCATTGCTGATCATTGTGGACCATTGCTGATCATTGTGGATCATTGTGGATCATTGTTGATCATTGCTGATCATTGTGGACCATTGTTGATCATTGCTGATCATTGTGGACCATTGTTGATCATTGCTGATCATTGTGGATCATTGTGGATCATTGTGGACCATTGTGGACCATTGTTGATCATTGCTGATCATTGTGGATCATTGTGGATCATTGTGGACCATTGTGGACCATTGCTGATCATTGTGGATCATTGCTGATCATTGCTGATCATTGTGGACCATTGCTGATCATTGTGGATCATTGTGGACCATTGTTGATAGTAGCTTTGTCTATCAGCTCCTAACGATTGTGTATCTATTTTTCTTTACACTGAAGTTTGAAGAATGTTTCTTGCTTCTGCTGCTAACAAGGTGCAGTGGACAGGTCTCAATCGATTTCATTGATTTCGATTTGGGATCGAATCACGTCTGATCACGTGTGCATGTGCAGAGGAGGACAGAGAGGAGGAGGACAGAGAGGAGGAGGACAGAGAATCCTACAGTAACTGCAGATACTGTCATCAGTTAGCATTAGGAGGTGTCCTGGGTCTGCTCCTCTGTGTGAGGAGGTCTCATGGGTCTGCTCCTCTGTGTGAGGAGGTGTCATGGGTCTGCTCCTCTGTGTGAGGAGGTCTGATGGGTCTGCTCCTCTGTGTGAGGAGGTGTCATGGGTCTGCTCCTCTGTGTGAGGAGGTCTGATGGGTCTGCTCCTCTGTGTGAGGAGGTGTCATGGGTCTGCTCCTCTGTGTGAGGAGGTGTCATGGGTCTGCTCCTCTGTGTGAGGAGGTCTCATGGGTCTGCTCCTCTGTGTGAGGAGGTCTCATGGGTCTGCTCCTCTGTGTGAGGAGGTCTCATGGGTCTGCTCCTCTGTGTGAGGAGGTCTGATGGGTCTGCTCCTCTGTGTGAGGAGGTCTCATGGGTCTGCTCCTCTGTGTGAGGAGGTCTGATGGGTCTGCTCCTCTGTGTGAGGAGGTGTCATGTGCTCCTCTGTGTGAGGAGGTCTCATGGGTCTGCTCCTCTGTGTGAGGAGGTCTCCTGGGTCTGCTCCTCTGTGTGAGGAGGTCTCATGGGTCTGCTCCTCTGTGTGAGGAGGTCTCCTGGGTCTGCTCCTCTGTGTGAGGAGGTCTCCTGGGTCTGCTCCTCTGTGTGAGGAGGTCTGATGGGTCTGCTCCTCTGTGTGAGGAGGTCTCATGGGTCTGCTCCTCTGTGTGAGGAGGTGTCATGGGTCTGCTCCTCTGTGTGAGGAGGTCTGATGGGTCTGCTCCTCTGTGTGAGGAGGTCTCCTGGGTCTGCTCCTCTGTGTGAGGAGGTCTCCTGGGTCTGCTCCTCTGTGTGAGGAGGTCTCCTGGGTCTGCTCCTCTGTGTGAGGAGGTCTGATGGGTCTGCTCCTCTGTGTGAGGAGGTCTCATGGGTCTGCTCCTCTGTGTGAGGAGGTGTCATGGGTCTGCTCCTCTGTGTGAGGAGGTGTCATGGGTCTGCTCCTCTGTGTGAGGAGGTCTGATGGGTCTGCTCCTCTGTGTGAGGAGGTCTGATGGGTCTGCTCCTCTGTGTGAGGAGGTCTGATGGGTCTGCTCCTCTGTGTGAGGAGGTGTCATGGGTCTGCTCCTCTGTGTGAGGAGGTGTCATGGGTCTGCTCCTCTGTGTGAGGAGGTGTCATGGGTCTGCTCCTCTGTGTGAGGAGGTCTGATGGGTCTGCTCCTCTGTGTGAGGAGGTCTGATGGGTCTGCTCCTCTGTGTGAGGAGGTGTCATGGGTCTGCTCCTCTGTGTGAGGAGGTCTGATGGGTCTGCTCCTCTGTGTGAGGAGGTCTCATGGGTCTGCTCCTCTGTGTGAGGAGGTGTCATGGGTCTGCTCCTCTGTGTGAGGAGGTGTCATGGGTCTGCTCCTCTGTGTGAGGAGGTGTCATGGGTCTGCTCCTCTGTGTGAGGAGGTGTCATGGGTCTGCTCCTGCCCTGGGGACTGGGTTGACAGCCCTGTTTCAGATCATTATTGGTTTGCTCTGTACCACAGTGATCTCAGGGTCTGTCTCCACCTGTCCCTCTCAGTAACCCTCAGCTGGCTCTGCTCCTCCTGGTCTCAGTGTCCTCTTCCTCCTCAGCTGGCTCTGCTCCTCCTGGTCTCAGTGTCCTCTTCCTCCTCAGCTGGCTCTGCTCCTCCTGGTCTCGGTGTTGTCCTGGTCTCAGTATCCTCTGCCTCCTCAGCTGACTCTGCTCCTCCTGGTCTCAGTATCCTCTGCCTCCTCAGCTGACTCTGCTCCTCCTGGTCTCAGTGTCCTCTGCCTCCTCAGCTGGCTCAGGTCCTCCTGGTCTCGGTGTCCTCTTCCTCCTCAGCTGGCTCTGCTCCTCCTGGTCTCAGTGTCCTCTTCCTCCTCAGCTGGCTCTGCTCCTCCTGGTCTCGGTGTTGTCCTGGTCTCAGTATCCTCTGCCTCCTCAGCTGACTCTGCTCCTCCTGGTCTCAGTGTCCTCTGCCTCCTCAGCTGGCTCAGGTCCTCCTGGTCTCGGTGTCGTCCTGGTCTCGGTGTCGTCCTGGTCTGGCTCTGCTCTTGTCCCGTCCTGGCCTTGCGCTGCTCTGGTCTGTGTCTCGTGTGGGGCTGCAGTACTGTGTCCCGTCACTGTACCAACCCCATGAGACCAGCGGGGGGCGCCACCTCGCTCTAGAGCCAGCGATGCCCGGCCCCACGCCCGCCGCCAGCAAAGCCCGGGTCTACACCGACGTCAACACTCACAAGAACCGGGAGTACTGGGACTACGACGCCTACACGCCCAACTGGAGGTGAGCAAGGAGCGTAGGGGTCTGAGTGTGTAGGGGTCTGAGTGTGTAGGGGTCTGAGTGTGTAGGGGTCTGAGTGTGTAGGGGTCTGAGTGTGTAGGGGTCTGAGTGTGTAGGGGTCTGAGTGTGTAGGGGTCTGAGTGTGTAGGGGTCTGAGTATGTAGGGGTCTGAGTGTGTAGGGGTCTGAGTGTGTAGGGGTCTGAGTGTGTAGGGGTCTGAGTGTGTAGGGGTCTGAGTGTGTAGGGGTCTGAGTGTGTAGGGGTCTGAGTGTGTAGGGGTCTGAGTGTGTAGGGGTCTGAGTGTGTAGGGGTCTGAGTGTGTAGGGGTCTGAGTGTGTAGGGGTCTGAGTGTGTAGGGGTGTCCTGACAGTAACAGTGTGTGTCTGTGGGTGTAGGGGTGTCCTGACAGTAACAGTGTGTGTCTGTGGGTGTAGGGGTGTCCTGACAGTAACAGTGTGTGTCTGTGAGTGTAGGGGTGTCCTGACAGTAACAGTGTGTGTCTGAGTGTGTAGGGGTGTCCTGACAGTAACAGTGTGTGTCTGAGTGTAGGGGTGTCCTGACAGTAACAGTGTGTGTCTGAGTGTGTAGGGGTGTCCTGACAGTAACAGTGTGTGTCTATGAGTGTAGGGGTGTCCTGACAGTAACAGTGTGTGTCTGTGTGTGTAGGGGTGTCCTGACAGTAACAGTGTGTGTCTGAGTGTAGGGGTGTCCTGACAGTAACAGTGTGTGTCTGAGTGTAGGGGTGTCCTGACAGTAACAGTGTGTGTCTATGAGTGTAGGGGTGTCCTGACAGTAACAGTGTGTGTCTATGAGTGTAGGGGTGTCCTGACAGTAACAGTGTGTGTCTGTGTGTGTAGGGGTGTCCTGACAGTAACAGTGTGTGTCTATGAGTGTAGGGGTGTCCTGACAGTAACAGTGTGTGTCTATGAGTGTAGGGGTGTCCTGACAGTAACAGTGTGTGTCTGTGTGTGTAGGGGTGTCCTGACAGTAACAGTGTGTGTCTATGAGTGTAGGGGTGTCCTGACAGTAACAGTGTGTGTCTATGAGTGTAGGGGTGTCCTGACAGTAACAGTGTGTGTCTGTGAGTGTAGGGGTGTCCTGACAGTAACAGTGTGTGTCTGTGGGTGTAGGGGTGTCCTGACAGTAACAGTGTGTGTCTATGAGTGTAGGGGTGTCCTGACAGTAACAGTGTGTGTCTGTGAGTGTAGGGGTGTCCTGACAGTAACAGTGTGTGTCTATGAGTGTAGGGGTGTCCTGACAGTAACAGTGTGTGTCTATGAGTGTAGGGGTGTCCTGACAGTAACAGTGTGTGTCTGTGAGTGTAGGGGTGTCCTGACAGTAAACAGTGTGTGTCTGTGGGTGTAGGGGTGTCCTGACAGTAACAGTGTGTGTCTGTGGGTGTAGGGGTGTCCTGACAGTAACAGTGTGTGTCTATGAGTGTAGGGGTGTCCTGACAGTAACAGTGTGTGTCTGTGAGTGTAGGGGTGTCCTGACAGTAACAGTGTGTGTCTGTGGGTGTAGGGGTGTCCTGACAGTAACAGTGTGTGTCTGTGGGTGTAGGGGTGTCCTGACAGTAACAGTGTGTGTCTGAGTGTGTAGGGGTGTCCTGACAGTAACAGTGTGTGTCTGAGTGTAGGGGTGTCCTGACAGTAACAGTGTGTGTCTATGAGTGTAGGGGTGTCCTGACAGTAACAGTGTGTGTCTGTGAGTGTAGGGGTGTCCTGACAGTAACAGTGTGTGTCTGTGTGTGTAGGGGTGTCCTGACAGTAACAGTGTGTGTCTATGAGTGTAGGGGTGTCCTGACAGTAACAGTGTGTGTCTGAGTGTAGGGGTGTCCTGACAGTAACAGTGTGTGTCTATGAGTGTAGGGGTGTCCTGACAGTAACAGTGTGTGTCTATGAGTGTAGGGGTGTCCTGACAGTAACAGTGTGTGTCTGTGTGTGTAGGGGTGTCCTGACAGTAACAGTGTGTGTCTATGAGTGTAGGGGTGTCCTGACAGTAACAGTGTGTGTCTATGAGTGTAGGGGTGTCCTGACAGTAACAGTGTGTGTCTGTGTGTGTAGGGGTGTCCTGACAGTAACAGTGTGTGTCTATGAGTGTAGGGGTGTCCTGACAGTAACAGTGTGTGTCTATGAGTGTAGGGGTGTCCTGACAGTAACAGTGTGTGTCTGTGAGTGTAGGGGTGTCCTGACAGTAACAGTGTGTGTCTGTGAGTGTAGGGGTGTCCTGACAGTAACAGTGTGTGTCTATGAGTGTAGGGGTGTCCTGACAGTAACAGTGTGTGTCTGTGAGTGTAGGGGTGTCCTGACAGTAACAGTGTGTGTCTGTGGGTGTAGGGGTGTCCTGACAGTAACAGTGTGTGTCTATGAGTGTAGGGGTGTCCTGACAGTAACAGTGTGTGTCTGTGAGTGTAGGGGTGTCCTGACAGTAACAGTGTGTGTCTGTGGGTGTAGGGGTGTCCTGACAGTAACAGTGTGTGTCTGTGGGTGTAGGGGTGTCCTGACAGTAACAGTGTGTGTCTGAGTGTGTAGGGGTGTCCTGACAGTAACAGTGTGTGTCTTGAGTGTAGGGGTGTCCTGACAGTAACAGTGTGTGTCTATGAGTGTAGGGGTGTCCTGACAGTAACAGTGTGTGTCTGTGAGTGTAGGGGTGTCCTGACAGTAACAGTGTGTGTCTGTGTGTGTAGGGGTGTCCTGACAGTAACAGTGTGTGTCTGTGAGTGTAGGGGTGTCCTGACAGTAACAGTGTGTGTCTATGAGTGTAGGGGTGTCCTGACAGTAACAGTGTGTGTCTGTGGGTGTAGGGGTGTCCTGACAGTAACTGTGGGTGTAGGGGTGTGACAGTAACAGTGTGTGTCTATGAGTGTAGGGGTGTCCTGACAGTAACAGTGTGTGTCTGTGTGTGTAGGGGTGTCCTGACAGTAACAGTGTGTGTCTATGAGTGTAGGGGTGTCCTGACAGTAACAGTGTGTGTCTGTGGGTGTAGGGGTGTCCTGACAGTAACAGTGTGTGTCTGAGTGTGTAGGGGTGTCCTGACAGTAACAGTGTGTGTCTGAGTGTGTAGGGGTGTCCTGACAGTAACAGTGTGTGTCTGTGGGTGTAGGGGTGTCCTGACAGTAACAGTGTGTGTCTGAGTGTGTAGGGGTGTCCTGACAGTAACAGTGTGTGTCTGAGTGTGTAGGGGTGTCCTGACAGTAACAGTGTGTGTCTGTGAGTGTAGGGGTGTCCTGACAGTAACAGTGTGTGTCTGAGTGTGTAGGGGTGTCCTGACAGTAACAGTGTGTGTCTATGAGTGTAGGGGTGTCCTGACAGTAACAGTGTGTGTCTGTGAGTGTAGGGGTGTCCTGACAGTAACAGTGTGTGTCTATGAGTGTAGGGGTGTCCTGACAGTAACAGTGTGTGTCTGTGAGTGTAGGGGTGTCCTGACAGTAACAGTGTGTGTCTGAGTGTAGGGGTGTCCTGACAGTAACAGTGTGTGTCTGTGAGTGTAGGGGTGTCCTGACAGTAACAGTGTGTGTCTATGAGTGTAGGGGTGTCCTGACAGTAACAGTGTGTGTCTATGAGTGTAGGGGTGTCCTGACAGTAACAGTGTGTGTCTGTGGGTGTAGGGGTGTCCTGACAGTAACAGTGTGTGTCTGTGGGTGTAGGGGTGTCCTGACAGTAACAGTGTGTGTCTATGAGTGTAGGGGTGTCCTGACAGTAACAGTGTGTGTCTGTGTGTGTAGGGGTGTCCTGACAGTAACAGTGTGTGTCTATGAGTGTAGGGGTGTCCTGACAGTAACAGTGTGTGTCTATGAGTGTAGGGGTGTCCTGACAGTAACAGTGTGTGTCTGTGTGTGTAGGGGTGTCCTGACAGTAACAGTGGTGTGTCTGTGGGTGTAGGGGTGTCCTGACAGTAACAGTGTGTGTCTATGAGTGTAGGGGTGTCCTGACAGTAACAGTGTGTGTCTGTGGGTGTAGGGGTGTCCTGACAGTAACAGTGTGTGTCTGTGGGTGTAGGGGTGTCCTGACAGTAACAGTGTGTGTCTGTGGGTGTAGGGGTGTCCTGACAGTAACAGTGTGTGTCTGTGAGTGTAGGGGTGTCCTGACAGTAACAGTGTGTGTCTATGAGTGTAGGGGTGTCCTGACAGTAACAGTGTGTGTCTATGAGTGTAGGGGTGTCCTGACAGTAACAGTGTGTGTCTGTGAGTGTAGGGGTGTCCTGACAGTAACAGTGTGTGTCTGTGGGTGTAGGGGTGTCCTGACAGTAACAGTGTGTGTCTATGAGTGTAGGGGTGTCCTGACAGTAACAGTGTGTGTCTGTGGGTGTAGGGGTGTCCTGACAGTAACAGTGTGTGTCTATGAGTGTAGGGGTGTCCTGACAGTAACAGTGTGTGTCTGTGAGTGTAGGGGTGTCCTGACAGTAACAGTGTGTGTCTGTGAGTGTAGGGGTGTCCTGACAGTAACAGTGTGTGTCTATGAGTGTAGGGGTGTCCTGACAGTAACAGTGTGTGTCTGTGAGTGTAGGGGTGTCCTGACAGTAACAGTGTGTGTCTGTGAGTGTAGGGGTGTCCTGACAGTAACAGTGTGTGTCTGAGTGTGTAGGGGTGTCCTGACAGTAACAGTGTGTGTCTATGAGTGTAGGGGTGTCCTGACAGTAACAGTGTGTGTCTGTGAGTGTAGGGGTGTCCTGACAGTAACAGTGTGTGTCTATGAGTGTAGGGGTGTCCTGACAGTAACAGTGTGTGTCTGTGAGTGTAGGGGTGTCCTGACAGTAACAGTGTGTGTCTGTGAGTGTAGGGGTGTCCTGACAGTAACAGTGTGTGTCTGTGGGTGTAGGGGTGTCCTGACAGTAACAGTGTGTGTCTATGAGTGTAGGGGTGTCCTGACAGTAACAGTGTGTGTCTGTGAGTGTAGGGGTGTCCTGACAGTAACAGTGTGTGTCTGAGTGTGTAGGGGTGTCCTGACAGTAACAGTGTGTGTCTGTGGGTGTAGGGGTGTCCTGACAGTAACAGTGTGTGTCTATGAGTGTAGGGGTGTCCTGACAGTAACAGTGTGTGTCTGTGGGTGTAGGGGTGTCCTGACAGTAACAGTGTGTGTCTGTGGGTGTAGGGGTGTCCTGACAGTAACAGTGTGTGTCTATGAGTGTAGGGGTGTCCTGACAGTAACAGTGTGTGTCTGTGAGTGTAGGGGTGTCCTGACAGTAACAGTGTGTGTCTGTGGGTGTAGGGGTGTCCTGACAGTAACAGTGTGTGTCTGTGGGTGTAGGGGTGTCCTGACAGTAACAGTGTGTGTCTGTGGGTGTAGGGGTGTCCTGACAGTAACAGTGTGTGTCTGTGGGTGTAGGGGTGTCCTGACAGTAACAGTGTGTGTCTATGAGTGTAGGGGTGTCCTGACAGTAACAGTGTGTGTCTATGTGTGTAGGGGTGTCCTGACAGTAACAGTGTGTGTCTATGTGTGTAGGGGTGTCCTGACAGTAACAGTGTGTGTCTATGAGTGTAGGGGTGTCCTGACAGTAACAGTGTGTGTCTGTGGACCAGCTGTAAGAGCGTTGCTTGTTTGTCTCGCAGTAATCAGGACAACTACCAGCTGGTGCGGAAACTGGGCCGCGGCAAATACAGCGAAGTGTTCGAAGCCATCAACGTTACCAACAATGACAAAGTGGTCGTCAAGATCCTCAAAGTGAGACACACACACAGACACACACACAGACACACACACGGACACAGATACACACTGACATGGACACAGACACACACATGGACTCACACGGACACACACTGTCGTCTTTAAAACACCTAACTCCTCTTCCAGCCGGTGAAAAAGAAGAAAATCAAAAGAGAAATCAAAATACTGGAAAATCTAAAAGGAGGAACCAACATCATCCGCCTGGTGGACACGGTCAAAGACCCAGTGGTGAGACTCACACATGAGGGAACACCAGCTAACACCAGCTAGCACCAGCTAACACCAGCTAGCACCAGCTAACACCAGCTAACACCAGCTAGCACCAGCTAGCACCAGCTAGCACCAGCTAGCACCAGCTAACACCAGCTAGCACCAGCTAGCACCAGCTAACACCAGCTAACACCAGCTAACACCAGCTAACACCAGCTAACACCAGCTAACACCAGCTAGCACCAGCTAACACCAGCTAACACCAGCTAACACCAGCTAACACCAGCTAGCACCAGCTAGCACCAGCTAACACCAGCTAACACCAGCTAACACCAGCTAACACCAGCTAACACCAGCTAACACCAGCTAGCACCAGCTAACACCAGCTAACACCAGCTAACACCAGCTAACACCAGCTAACACCAGCTAACACCAGCTAACACCAGCTAGCACCAGCTAACACCAGCTAACACCAGCTAACACCAGCTAACACCAGCTAGCACCAGCTAGCACCAGCTAACACCAGCTAACACCAGCTAACACCAGCTAACACCAGCTAGCACCAGCTAACACCAGCTAACACCAGCTAACACCAGCTAACACCAGCTAACACCAGCTAACACCAGCTAGCACCAGCTAACACCAGCTAACACCAGCTAGCACCAGCTAACACCAGCTAACACCAGCTAACACCAGCTAGCACCAGCTAGCACCAGCTAACACCAGCTAACACCAGCTAACACCAGCGTCTATCAGGGTCTATCAGGGTCTATCAGGGTCTATCAGGGTCTATCAGGGTCTATCAGGGTCTATCAGGGTCTATCAGGAGATGCAGGATCTCAGAGAAAGGCACATGATCCTCCATTTGAAGTTTAGGTGGATCCAGGGACAAGTCACACACACATACAGCGTCTGTGTGCGTCTGTGTGTGTCTGACACCCGTGTGAGTGTGCGTCTGTGTGTGTGTGTGTCTGACACCCGTGTGTGTGCATGTGTGTGTGTGTCTGACATCCGTGTGAGTGTGCGTGTGTGTGTCTGACACCCGTGTGTGTGCATGTGTTCTGTCTGTGTGTGTCTGACACCCGTGTGTGTTGGTGTGTGTGTGTGTGACACCTGGTCTCACTCTCTTTCTGGTCTCTCTCTCCCTAGGCTCTCTCTGTCTGATCTCACTCTCTAGTCTCACTCTCTTGCTGGTCTCTCACTCTCTTGCTGGTCTCTCACGTCTCTTGCTGGTCTCTCTCTCGCTGGTTTCTCTCTGGTCTCACTCTCTGGGCTCTCTTTCTTGGCTCACCCTCTGGGCTCTCTCTCTTGCTGGTCTCTCATGTCTCTTGCTGCGTGTGTTATGATACACGCAGTGTGGGGCTTCTATGTTAAAGGGAGTTGGTCCTTACTGTAAACGGTGTGTTTTTGGTTCCAAACCATTATGCCCTACCCATGGTCCTGACCTCGTGATGACGTCAGTCCGTTCTGCAGTTGTAGTCGTGACTAACATTTAAATTGTATTCCACGAATATGTTGATACTGAGTCCAGGAGAGGTCAGACCTGTTCTAAGTCATGTGTCTAACCTTGTGTTGCAGTCCCGAACTCCAGCGCTTGTGTTTGAATTCATCAATAACACAGACTTTAAGGTACATCTGCCACTCCACACGTTTCCCACAATGCACCTGTGCCTCTCACACTGCCCCCTGGTGTCTGCAGGAGCTGTACCAGAAGCTGACAGACTACGACATCCGCTTCTACATGTATGAGCTGCTGAAGGTCAGTCGCATGACCCTGTGGCCCTGTAGTTCTGGCCTCTGATGACTCATTTACTCTGATTACAAGTGGGAACAGTTCTATTGTTCAGAGTGCGTTTTCAGCCACACTCCTTTTCCCAGTTTCTTTGTCTGTGGTCACCATGGTAACGGCTGCTGTTGTGTCTGTGGTCACCATGGTAACGGCTGCTGTTGTGTGTGTGGACACCATTAGGGGTGTGACGATATATCGATTTTTCGATATATCGCGATACTTTCTCCCGCGATTTTTTTTTTTTTTTTACAATTTTTTTTTTTAAAATTGCTATCAATACTTAATATATTGCTACATTACGCATCTCCATTCCATTTATCATGCAATAAAGTGTATTTTTTTTTTTATTTATGCCATAAATTGGCATGTTGTATATTTCTGACCAATATATCAATAATCGTCATATTGTGATAAAATCGTTATTGTGATAAAATCGTTATCGTGATATTATCGTTATCGTGATATCGTTATCGTGAGCTTTGTATCGTGTATCGTATCGTGAGGTACCCTTAGGTTCCCACCCCTAGTCACCATGGTAGCGGCTGCTGTTGTGTCTGTGGTCACCATAGTAACGGCTGCTGTTGTGTCTGGTCACCATGGTAGCGGCTGCTGTTGTGTCTGTGGTCACCATGGTAACGGCTGCTGTTGTGTCTGTGGTCACCATAGTAACGGCTGCTGTTGTGTCTGTGGTCACCATGGTAGCGGCTGCTGTTGTGTCTGTGGTCACCATGGTAACGGCTGCTGTTGTGTCTGTGGTCACCATAGTAACGGCTGCTGTTGTGTCTGTGGTCACCATGGTAGCAACTGCTGTTGTGTCTGTGGTCACCATGGTAGCGGCTGCTGTTGTGTCTGTGGTCACCATGGTAACGGCTGCTGTTGTGTCTGTGGTCATCATGGTAACGGCTGCTGTTGTGTCTGTGGTCACCATAGTAACGGCTGCTGTTGTGTCTGTGGTCACCATGGTAACGGCTGCTGTTGTGTCTGTGGTCACCATAGTAACGGCTGCTGTTGTGTCTGTGGTCACCATGGTAGCAACTGCTGTTGTGTCTGGTCACCATGGTAGCGGCTGCTGTTGTGTCTGTGGTCACCATGGTAACGGCTGCTGTTGTGTCTGTGGTCACCATAGTAACGGCTGCTGTTGTGTCTGTGGTCACCATGGTAGCGGCTGCGGTTGTGTCTGTGGTCACCATAGTAACGGCTGCTGTTGTGTCTGTGGTCACCATAGTAACGGCTGCTGTTGTGTCTGGTCACCATGGTAGCGGCTGCTGTTGTGTCTGTGGTCACCATAGTAACGGCTGCTGTTGTGTCTGTGGTCACCATAGTAACGGCTGCTGTTGTGTCTGTGGTCACCATAGTAACGGCTGCTGTTGTGTCTGTGGTCACCATAGTAACGGCTGCTGTTGTGTCTGTGGTCACCATGGTAACGGCTGCTGTTGTGTCTGTGGTCACCATGGTAGCGGCTGCTGTTGTGTCTGTGGTCACCATGGTAACGGCTGCTGTTGTGTCTGTGGTCACCATGGTAGCGGCTGCTGTTGTGTCTGCGGTCACCATGGTAACGGCTGCCTTTCTGTCGCAGGCCCTGGATTACTGTCACAGTATGGGCATCATGCATCGAGACGTCAAACCGCACAACGTCATGATCGACCACCAACTCAGGAAGGTACGGCTGTCTTTACCGACTGTCATCATCATGGACCCCGGCAAGATGTACCTACGAGTAACGTGTGTGTGTGTGTGTGTGTGTGTGTGTGTGTGTAGCTGCGCCTTATAGACTGGGGTCTGGCAGAGTTCTATCATCCGGCTCAAGAATACAACGTCAGAGTCGCATCACGCTACTTCAAAGGCCCCGAGCTGCTAGTGGACTATCAGGTACCAGCAGCTCACAGGTACCAGCAGAACACGGGTACCAGAACCCACAGGCGTCGGACTGGGGGGGTAAAAGGCAACCCAAGGCAGGGAGGGGCCCTTTAAAGTGTGTCTTTATATGTGTTACGCATTAACGTAGTGCTGTCCCATCGAGTGTTTGTACCCGGGGCCCAGAATTTGGTGCTACCCCCCCCCCCCCCCCCCTGCCAGCAGCACACGGGTACCAGCAGCGCAGCGCACGGGTACCAGCAGCGCAGCGCACGGGTACCAGCAGCGCACGGGGGTACCGGCAGCACACGGGTACCAGCTGCACACGGGTACCGCACGCACACGGGTACCGCACGCACACGGGTACCAGCAGCACACGGGTACCAGCAGCACACGGGGGTACCAGCAGCACGGGTACCTCACAGTGAGCAGATATACACATGTGTATACGGTCACACATTTACACACCTCTGTGTGTGTGTGTGTGTGTGTGTGTGTGTGTGTGTGTGTGTGTGTGTGTGTGTGTGTGTGTGTGTGTGTGTGTGTGTGTGTGTGTGTGTGTGTGTGTGTGTGTGTGTGTGTGTGTGTGTGTGTGTGTGTGTGTGTGTGTGTGCGTGCGTGCGTGCGTGCGTGCGTGCGTGCGTGACACGTGTGTGTGTTTGCAGATGTACGACTACAGCCTGGACATGTGGAGTCTCGGCTGCATGTTGGCCAGTATGATCTTCCTCAAGGAGCCTTTTTTCCATGGACAGGACAACTATGACCAGGTACCATGAGAGACACCAGAGAGAGACACCAGAGGGAGAGAGACACCAGAGGGAGAGAGCCACCAGGGGGAGAGACACCAGAGGGAGAGAGACACCAGAGGGAGAGAGCCACCAGGGGGAGAGCCACCAGGGGGAGAGAAACACCAGGGGGAGAGAGACACCAGAGGGAGAGAGACACCAGAGGGAGAGAGACACCAGAGGGAGAGAGCCACCAGAGGGAGAGAGCCACCAGAGGGAGAGAGCCACCAGAGGGAGAGAGCCACCAGAGGGAGAGAGCCACCAGAGGGAGAGAGACACCAGAGGGAGAGAGACACCAGAGGGAGAGAGACACCAGAGGGAGAGAGCCACCAGAGGGAGAGAGCCACCAGAGGGAGAGAGCCACCAGAGGGAGAGAGCCACCAGAGGGAGAGAGCCACCAGGGGGAGAGAGCCACCAGGGGGAGAGAGACACCAGAGGGAGAGAGACACCAGAGGGAGAGAGACACCAGGGGGAGAGAGACACCAGAGGGAGAGAGACACCAGAGGGAGAGAGACACCAGGGGGAGAGAGACACCAGAGGGAGAGAGACACCAGGGGGAGAGCAGAGAGAGCGAGTTGTGAATGAGTGTTTTGTTCCAGTTGGTGCGGATCGCCAAAGTCCTGGGCACAGACGAACTGTTCGGATACTTGCACAAATATCACATTGAACTGGACACACGCTTCAAAGACCTGCTGGGACAGTGAGTCAGCACTTTTACACATGAGTCAGCACTCACACACATGAGTCAGCACTCACACACATGAGTCAGCACTCACACACATGAGTCAGCACTCACACACATGAGTCAGCACTCACACACATGAGTCAGCACTCACACACATGAGTCAGCACTCACACACATGAGTCAGCACTCACACACATGAGTCAGCACTCACACACATGAGTCAGCACTCACACACATGAGTCAGCACTCACACACATGAGTCAGCACTCATCTGCAGAGGAGTTAAACACCACTAACTGGTTATGTGTCTGTTGTGTGTGTTTCTGTGTGTGTCTCTCTCTGTGTGTGTTGTGTAGACAGTCTCGTAAGCGTTGGGAGCAGTTTGTGCAGCCTGAGAACCAGCACCTGGTGAGTCCTGAGGCTCTGGATCTACTCGACAAACTCCTGCGCTACGACCATCAGAGCCGGGTCAGCGCCACAGAGGCCATGGGCCACCCGTACTTCTGTGAGTACACACACACTACACACACCCGTACTTCTGTGAGTACACACATACTACACACACACGAGGTGAGACCAAATGCAGTGTTCTCTGTAAGGTTTAGTTAAAGTGTGTTGATCCCTCTGTACACACACATCAGAGGGCGTGGCCATGACTCACCTGACTCTACTTTTGTACTTGTGGTTAGCAGTGCTTCTAAGTGCAGGTTAAGTTCCAGTTCTTCATTGTCAGTGTGAACAGGAGTAACATGTTTCTAAACTTATGAGTCCAGACATGAGCAGAACTTTATACAGGTACTTTTACTGTCTGCGCGGGCGTGGCCATGGCTCTCCTGGCAGTGGGGCGTTTCCATGGCTCACCTGTCTGCAGGGGCGTGGCTATGACTCACCTGTCTGCGGGGGCGTGGCCATGGCTCTCCTGGCAGTGGGGGCGTGGCCATGGCTCTCCTGTCTGTGGGGGAGTGGCCATGGCTCACCTGTCCGTGGGGGCGTGGCCATGGCTCACCTGTCCGTGGGGGCGTGGCCATGGCTCACCTGTCCGTGGGGGCGTGGCCATGGCTCACCTGTCCGTGGGGGCGTGGCCATGGCTCACCTGTCTTTGGGGGCGTGGCTATGGCTCACCTGTCTTTGGGGGCGTGGCTATGGCTCACCTGTCTTTGGGGGCGTGGCTATGGCTCACCTGTCTTTGGGGGCGTGGCCATGACTTGTGTGTATGTGTTTCAGTTCCGGTTGTGAAGGAACAGACCAACACCAACTCAGACGGATCCAAGACGCTGAACAACACATGATACTGACTCAGCAGGTGAGGACTTTTCTCATCCCCCTCCCTTTCCCCTGTCCCCCCCCCCCACACTCGCAGTCAGTGTATTGACATCTGACTCTTGTTTTGCAGTTTTGAGTCTTACCTCAGATTGTGATGTTTCAAAAGCCTCTGGTTCCAGCCGCCACAAAGCAGGACCCTCAACAGATGTCCCCCAATACTCCCCCCTTCTGTACCCCCGTCGGAAGCCACGCCCCCTCCGTCAGAAACCACACCCTCTCCGTCAGAAACCACACCCTCTCCGCCAGAAACCACACCCTCTCCGTCAGAAACCACACCCCCTCCGTCAGAAACCACACCCTCTCCGTCAGAAACCACACCCTCTCCGTCAGAAACCACACCCTCTCCGCCAGAAACCACACCCTCTCCGTCAGAAACCACACCCTCTCCGTCAGAAACCACACCCTCTCTGTCAGAAACCACACCCTCTCTGTCAGAAACCCCGCCCCTTCCTTCTGAGGCCCCGCCCCCTGAGCCCAGTCCTTTACAGATATTTGTACAAAGTTGTTTTTAGGCAATAATCTGATTCAGGATGAACTCTGCTTTTACTCGATCGTTACATATTTATATTATAGATATTATACAGTTTACAGTCTGTACATGTGTCAAAGAGACTGAGGGCACCTCCTCTGGACCTCCTCAGGGCCTCCTCTGGACCTCCTCGTTTCACTGCCTTCTGTCACTTTCTCCTCTAATAAACGACCTGGAGTATTGTGTGTGTTTGGCTTATGGTCAGAGGTCAAAGGTCAGAGATGTGAAACCTCACAGACCTGACCAGGAACACTGAGGTTAAAGGTGAAAGTGTTGAAACCATGTGAGAAAACCATGTGAGAGGAGCCACGGCTGACCCCAGATCAGCCACAACAAAATAAATGTTTTTATTTAAATTGAACTCTGTGGACTCCTGTTGTCTCTGACATCACTCTGGAAGAATCACTTTGAGCTCATGTCGCTATTGGCTGAAGAGAACGGCCTCGAAGGCTCTGATTGGTCGGTTTTTATGGGTTTAGGACGTCCACATGGTTTACAAAGTATTTAATACTCTGTTCTAGTCCTCAAAGGGCAGCTGTGGACCCAGGACTGAGGCTGTGGATCCTGGACTGAGGCTGTAGACCCAGGACTGAGGCTGTAGACCCAGGACTGAGGCTGTAGACCCAGGACTGAGGCTGTAGACCCAGGACTGAGGCCGTAGACCCAGGACTGAGGCGTAGACCCAGGACTGAGGCCGTAGACCCAGGACTGAGGCCGTAGACCCAGGACTGAGGCCGTGGATCCAGGACTGAGGCCGTGGATCCAGGACTGAGGCCGTGGATCCAGGACTGAGGCCGTGGATCCAGGACTGAGGCCGTAGACCCTGGACTGAGGCCGTGGATCCAGGACTGAGGCCGTGGATCCAGGACTGAGGCCGTGGATCCAGGACTGAGGCCGTGGATCCAGGACTGAGGCCGTAGACCCTGGACTGAGGCCGTGGATCCAGGACTGAGGCCGTGGATCCAGGACTGAGGCTGTAGACCCACTTCAGACTCTGCCACATGTGGTTAGCAGTGCTTCTAAGTGCAGACGGTTCCATGTTTTCTTTATTGTCAGTGTGAACAGGAGTAACATCTTTCCAAAGCTACACTCGAGTAACGCACTGATGGCAATACTTTTACCACAGTAGTTTATACTCGGATCTACTTTGGAACAAACTTAGTGATCAAAGTGAAAGTAAAGCCGACAGACTGAATATGTGACATCACCACAGTGTGACATCACAGTGTCAGCCTAAATGCAGAAGTGATTTAAACATGAGCTGGAGCCAGTTTTCTTTTGATAAAAGGAATAAATAAAAAGTAAATGAGTGTTAGCTTAGCGCTGTAAGGCTTTAGCTTAGCGCATTAACAGGGGCAGATGTGTTGCTAGGACGGTTGCTATGCGAGCTGAAGTTTCCCTGATCAAAGCAGGATCGCAGAGACACATGCAGGTCAATGGGAGCCAAACTTCACCATGAGCACTTCCTTTTGGGCTTCATTGAGCTAGCAAGTTAGCATTAGCATTGTCCCTCTGTAAACAGTCTATGGTCGGTACACGAGTGTGGCGCTGCAAAGTGGGCGGAGCTTTCAGCAAAAATATGTATAGATCGTATATACTAAAGTATAGATTGTATATACTAAAGTATAGATTGTATATACTAAAGTATAGATTGTATATACTAAAGTATAGATTGTATATACTAAAGTATAGATTGTATATACTAAAGTATAGATTGTATATACTAAAGTATAGATTGTATATACTAAAGTATAGATTGTATATACTAAAGTATAGATTGTATATACTAAAGTATAGATTGTATATACTAAAGTATAGATTGTATATACTAAAGTATAGATTGTATATACTAAAGTATAGATTGTATATACTAAAGTATAGATTGTATATACTAAAGTATAGATTGTATATACTAAAGTATAGATTGTATATACTAAAGTATAGATTGTATATACTAAAGTATAGATTGTATATACTAAAGTATAGATTGTATATACTAAAGTATAGATTGTATATACTAAAGTATAGATTGTATATACTAAAGTATAGATTGTATATACTAAAGTATAGATTGTATATACTAAAGTATAGATTGTATATACTAAAGTATAGATTGTATATACTAAAGTATAGATTGTATATACTAAAGTATAGATTGTATATACTAAAGTATAGATTGTATATACTAAAGTATAGATTGTATATACTAAAGTATAGATTGTATATACTAAAGTATAGATTGTATATACTAAAGTATAGATTGTATATACTAAAGTATAGATTGTATATACTAAAGTATAGATTGTATATACTAAAGTATAGATTGTATATACTAAAGTATAGATTGTATATACTAAAGTATAGATTGTATATACTAAAGTATAGATTGTATATACTAAAGTATAGATTGTATATACTAAAGTATAGATTGTATATACTAAAGTATAGATTGTATATACTAAAGTATAGATTGTATATACTAAAGTATAGATTGTATATACTAAAGTATAGATTGTATATACTAAAGTATAGATCGTATATACTAAAGTATAGATCGTATATACTAAAGTATAGATCGTATATACTAAAGTATAGATCGTATATACTAAAGTATAGATTGTATATACTAAAGTATAGATTGTATATACTAAAGTATAGATTGTATATACTAAAGTATAGATCGTATATACTAAAGTATAGATGTGTCAGTATATATGATCGGGGAATGTGAGGCTCCGCCCACTGCAGAACAGAAAAAAATCACTAAAACATCTGAAACAACAAGAACATGTGACATAAGAGGCCGCGCCCCCACACCTCTGAGGTCCAATGAGGCCGCGCCCCCACACCTCTGAGGTCCAATGAGGCCGCGCCCCCACACCTCTGAGGTCCAATGAGGCCGCGCCCCCATACCTCTGAGGTCCAATGAGAGGAGAGCAGGCCAGAAGTAAACAAATAAAGATGTGACCACAAAACATTCAAGGTTTTAAAACAGACAAATCAGTGCAACGAGGGAGAGAGAGGGGGGAGGGGGGAGAGAGGGAGAGAGAGGGGAGAGGGGGGGGAGAGAGGAGGGGAGAGAGGGGGAGAGATAGGGGGGGAGAGGAGGAGAGAGGAGGAGAGAGGAGAGAGAGGGGGGAGAGAGAGAGGGGGGAGAGTTAAAGCCACACCCTGAGTTTCCTGGAGAGGGGGAGAAACCTGTCTCTGACACAGAATAAAACAGTTAAGTCTCAGAGACTGTTCAATCATCTGTGTCTGCAGCAGAGTGCCTCAGGGCAGCTGTGGCAGCAGACTGCCTCAGGGCAGCTGTGGCAGCAGCTGTGGCAGCAGAGTGGCTCAGGGCAGCTGTGGCAGCAGCTGTGGCAGCAGAGTGGCTCAGGGCAGCTGTGGCAGCAGCTGTGGCAGCAGACTGCCTCAGGGCAGCTGTGGCAGCAGCTGTGGCAGCAGCTGTGGCAGCAGACTGCCTCAGGGCAGCTGTGGCAGCAGAGCCTGCAGCTCCTCGTCCTTGATCTGGTTGACGGAGACGATGTGGTCGAGGTGAGACAGATACTTCTCTGGGTCCATCATGAAGTGAGGGATTCTGGTCCTGGACAGAACCGCAAGAGACCGAAGGCGAGACACGTCCTCAAAGGACACCTGAGACACACACACACACACACAGACACACACACAGTTTGTCGCTTAATTCCTGGAACAAACCACATTCCACAAGTCCCACATCTTATTACACATATCCTCTCTGGTCTCTCTCTGGTCTCTCTCTCTGGTCTCTCTCTGGTCTCTCTCTCTGGTCTCTCTCTGGTCTCTCTCTGGTCTCTCTCTCTGGTCTCTCTCTCTGGTCTCTCTCTGGTCTCTCTCTGGTCTCTCTCTCTGGTCTCTCTCTCTGGTCTCTCTCTGGTCTCTCTCTGGTCTCTCTCTCTGGTCTCTCTCTCTGGTCTCTCTCTCTGGTCTCTCTCTCTGGTCTCTCTCTCTGGTCTCTCTCTGGTCTCTCTCTCTGGTCTCTCTCTGGTCTCTCTCTCTGGTCTCTCTCTGGTCTCTCTCTCTGGTCTCTCTCTCTGGTCTCTCTCTGGTCTCTCTCTGGTCTCTCTCTCTGGTCTCTCTCTCTGGTCTCTCTCTCTGGTCTCTCTCTGGTCTCTCTCTGGTCTCTCTCTCTGGTCTCTCTCTCTGGTCTCTCTCTCTGGTCTCTCTCTGGTCTCTCTCTGGTCTCTCTCTCTGGTCTCTCTCTCTGGTCTCTCTCTGGTCTCTCTCTGGTCTCTCTCTCTGGTCTCTCTCTCTGGTCTCTCTCTCTGGTCTCTCTCTGGTCTCTCTCTCTGGTCTCTCTCTCTGGTCTCTCTCTCTGGTCTCTCTCTGGTCTCTCTCTGGTCTCTCTCTCTGGTCTCTCTCTGGTCTCTCTCTCTGGTCTCTCTCTCTGGTCTCTCTCTCTGGTCTCTCTCTCTGGTCTCTCTCTCTGGTCTCTCTCTGGTCTCTCTCTCTGGTCTCTCTCTCTGGTCTCTCTCTCTGGTCTCTCTCTGGTCTCTCTCTGGTCTCTCTCTCTGGTCTCTCTCTCTGGTCTCTCTCTCTGGTCTCTCTCTCTGGTCTCTCTCTCTGGTCTCTCTCTGGTCTCTCTCTGGTCTCTCTCTCTGGTCTCTCTCTCTGGTCTCTCTCTGGTCTCTCTCTCTGGTCTCTCTCTCTGGTCTCTCTCTCTGGTGTCTCTCTCTGGTGTCTCTCTCTGGTCTCTCTCTCTGGTCTCTCTCTCTGGTCTCTCTGGTCTCTGGTCTCTCTGGTCTCTCTCTGGTCTCTCTCTCTGGTCTCTCTCTCTGGTCTCTCTCTGGTCTCTCTCTCTGGTCTCTTTCTGGTCTCTCTGGTCTCTCTCTCTGGTCTCTCTCTGATTTGTCTCTGGTCTCTCTTCCTGGTCTCTCTCTCTGGTCTCTCTCTCTCTGGTCTCTCTCTCTGGTCTCTCTCTGGTCTCTCTCTCTGGTCTCTCTCTCTGGTCTCTCTCTCTGGTCTCTCTCTGGTCTCTCTCTCTGGTCTCTCTCTCTGGTCTCTCTCTCTGGTCTCTCTCTCTGGTCTCTCTCTCTGGTCTCTCTCTGGTCTCTCTCTGGTCTCTCTCTGGTCTCTCTCTCTGGTCTCTCTCTCTCTGGTCTCTCTCTGGTCTCTCTCTCTGGTCTCTCTCTCTGGTCTCTCTCTCTGGTCTCTCTCTCTGGTCTCTCTCTGGTCTCTCTCTCTGGTCTCTCTCTGGTCTCTCTGGTCTCTCTCCGGTCTCTCTGGTGTCTCTCCCTCTGGTCTCTCTCTCTGGTCTCTCTCTGGTCTCTCTCTCTGGTCTCTCTCTCTCTCTGGTCTCTCTCTGGTCTCTCTGGTCTCTCTCTGGTCTCTCTCTGGTCTCTCTCTGGTCTCTCTCTGGTCTCTCTCTGGTCTCTCTCTGGTCTCTCTCTGGTCTCTCTCTGGTCTCTCTCTGGTCTCTCTCTGGTCTCTCTCTGGTCTCTCTCTGGTCTCTCTCTGGTCTCTCTCTCTGGTCTCTCTCTCTGGTCTCTCTCTGGTCTCTCTCTCTGGTCTCTCTCGGTCTCTCTGGTCTCTCTCTCTGGTCTCTCTCTCTGGTCTCTCTCTCTGGTCTCTCTCTCTGGTCTCTCTCTCTGGTCTCTCTCTCTGGTCTCTCTCTGGTCTCTCTCTCTGGTCTCTCTCTCTGGTCTCTCTCTCTGGTCTCTCTCTGGTCTCTCTCTCTGGTCTCTCTCTCTGGTCTCTCTCTCTGGGTCTCTCTCTGGTCTCTCTCTGGTCTCTCTCTCTGGTCTCTCTCTGGTCTCTCTCTGGTCTCTCTCTCTGGTCTCTCTCTCTGGTCTCTCTCTCTGGTCTCTCTCTCTGGTCTCTCTCTGGTCTCTCTCTGGTCTCTCTCTCTGGTCTCTCTCTCTGGTCTCTCTCTGGTCTCTCTCTCTGGTCTCTCTCTGGTCTCTCTCTGGTCTCTCTCTGGTCTCTCCCTCTGGTCTCTCTCCCTGGTCTCTCTCTGGTCTCTCTCTGGTCTCTCTCTGGTCTCTCTCTGGTCTCTCTCTGGTCTCTCTCTCTGGTCTCTCTCTCTGGTCTCTCTCTCTGGTCTCTCTCTCTGGTCTCTCTCTGGTCTCTCTCTGGTCTCTCTCTGGTCTCTCTCTGGTCTCTCTCTCTGGTCTCTCTCTGGTCTCTCTTTGGTCTCTCTCTCTGGTCTCTCTCTCTGGTCTCTCTCTCTGGTCTCTCTCTGGTCTCTCTCTGGTCTCTCTCTGGTCTCTCTCTCTGGTCTCTCTCTCTGGTCTCTCTCTCTGGTCTCTCTCTGGTCTCTCTCTCTGGTCTCTCTCTCTGGTCTCTCTCTCTGGTCTCTCTCTGGTCTCTCTCTCTGGTCTCTCTCTCTGGTCTCTCTCTCTGGTCTCTCTCTCTGGTCTCTCTCTGGTCTCTCTCTGGTCTCTCTCTGGTCTCTCTCTGGTCTCTCTCTGGTCTCTCTCTGGTCTCTCTCTGGTCTCTCTCTGGTCTCTCTCTCTGGTCTCTCTCTCTGGTCTCTCTCTCTGGTCTCTCTCTCTGGTCTCTCTCTCTGGTCTCTCTCTGGTCTCTCTCTGGTCTCTCTCTCTGGTCTCTCTCTCTCTCTTCTCTCTCTCTCTGGTGTCTCTCTCTGGTCTCTCTCTCTGGTCTCTCTCTCTGGTCTCTCTCTCTGGTCTCTCTGGTCTCTCTCTCTGGTCTCTTTCTGGTCTCTCTCTCTGGTCTCTCTCTCTGGTCTCTCTCTCTGGTCTCTCTCTCTGGTCTCTCTCTGGTCTCTCTCTCTCTGGTCTCTCTCTGGTTCTCTCTCTCTGGTCTCTCTCTCTGGTCTCTCTCTCTGGTCTCTCTCTCTGGTCTCTCTCTCTGGTCTCTCTCTCTGGTCTCTCTCTGGTCTCTCTCTCTGTCTCTCTGTCTCTCTCTGGTCTCTCTCTGGTCTCTCTCTGGTCTCTCTCTCTGGTCTCTCTCTCTGGTCTCTCTCTCTGGTCTCTCTCTGGTCTCTCTCTCTGGTCTCTCTCTCTGGTCTCTCTCTCTGGTCTCTCTCTCTGGTCTCTCTCTGGTCTCTCTCTCTGGTCTCTCTCTCTGGTCTCTCTCTCTGGTCTCTCTCTCTGGTCTCTCTCTCTGGTCTCTCTCTCACCAGAGCTGGAGGATTTAACCTAGTGTGTATGTTTTTTAGTGGTAGGGGAAACGGGAGCACCCGGAGGAAACCTACGCAGGCACAGGGAGAACATGCAAACTCCACTCAGAAAGGCCCTGTTCTGACCGGGATTTGAACCCAGGACCTTCTTGTGAGCCAGTGCTAACCACTCAGCCCCTGATTCGTCACTTTGAGGATGTGTTTAGTTTCGGTGACTCGGGTCCACTTCATGACGACCCGAGCAGAGCCGGTACCACTCACCTTCCTGATTGGTTCTGGTCTCTGGCACTTCCTGGTTTGCCGTATCCGTGGCGACGCTCGTTGTTGATGATGACTCTTGGCGTCCGTGTTTTCTGCGCCCGAGGTTTGGACTTTTCCTCCAACATTTCAGTCCTTCACAGACTCGGCTCCAAAACCATCAAACGTTAAAAACACTCGACCACAAAATGTTGTGGAAAAATATATTCAATAAAAATCATTCAAACGAATGAATGAGAAACAAATGATTATGAAAATATACAACTGAATAATTTAATGTTAAAGATCACATTAGTCTCTGAGGACTGAGACCAGAGAGACCAGAGAGAGACCAGAGAGAGACCAGTAAGAGACCAGAGAGAGACCAGAGAGACCAGAGAGAGACCAGTAAGAGACCAGTAAGAGACCAGAGAGAGACCAGAGAGACCAGAGAGAGACCAGTAAGAGACCAGAGAGAGACCAGTAAGAGACCAGAGAGAGACCAGAGGGAGACCAGAGAGAGACCAGAGAGAGACCAGAGAGAGGCCAGAGAGAGACCAGAGAGAGACCAGAGAGAGACCAGAGAGAGACCAGAGAGAGACCAGAGAGAAAGACCAGAGAGAAAGACCAGAAAGAGAGAGACCAGAGAGAGAGAGAACAGTGAGACCAGAGAGAGAGACCAGAGAGAGACCAGAGAGAGAGACCAGAGAGACACCAGAGCGAGAGACCAGAGAGAGACTAGAGAGAGACCAGAGAGAGACCAGAGAGAGACCAGAGAGACCAGAGAGACCAGAGAGAGGCCAGAGAGAGACCAGAGAGAAAGACCAGAGAAAGACCAGAGAGAGAGAGACCAGAGAGAGAGAGAACAGTGAGACCAGAGAGAGAGACCAGAGAAAGACCAGAGAGAGACCAGAGAGAGACCAGAGAGAGACCAGGGAGAGACCAGAGAGGGACCAGAGAGAGACCAGAGAGAGACCAGAGAGAGACCAGGGAGAGAGACCAGTAAGAGACCAGAGAGAGGTCTCAGAGTCCTGCGGGGTCAGAGAGTAATCCTTTGAACCACAGAAGCTCCATGTTGAGCCTGGGTCCCAGTGGATTTGAACAAACACAAGACGATGTATATATGAGCTCAACCGACCAATAGGAGCGCGAGGACACACCCCCACAGCTCAACCGACCAATAAGAGCACAGAGGGCGGAGTGCAATCGGTTTAAGATTCATTTTAAGAAAAGTTTTCAACCTTGATCACAAACACCCCCGACCCTTCTGCCCCCACGCTCTGCTCTCAAACTACACCAGTTAAAGAAACACCCCCGACCCTTCAGCCCCCACGCTCTGCTCTCAAACTACACCAGTTAAAGAAACACCCCCGACCCTTCAGCCCCCACGCTCTGCTCTCAAACTACACCAGTTAAACAAATACCCCCGACCCTTCAGCCCCCACGCTCTGCTCTCAAACTACACCAGTTAAACAAATACCCCCGACCCTTCTGCCCCCACGCTCTGCTCTCAAACTACACCAGTTAAACAAATACCCCCGACCCTTCAGCCCCCCACGCTCTGCTCTCAAACTACACCAGTTAAACAAATACCCCCGACCCTTCTGCCCCCACGCTCTGCTCTCAAACTACACCAGTTAAACAAATACCCCCGACCCTTCTGCCCCCACGCTCTGCTCTCAAACTACACCAGTTAAACAAATACCCCCGACCCTTCTGCCCCCACGCTCTGCTCTCAAACTACACCAGGACCATCAGCACACACATGGTCCATCTGGTTTGACTGGAGCTGTGTCATTGCCAGGATCCTTTGGGCGTGAAGCAGAGAGACTCGCGCCGGTGTCCGTGGTTACTGCAGTCAGTGAAAGTCTTTTACAGACATTATTCTGTGTGAATACAGTTAAGTCTCAGACCGCGACCATCACAGATGATCAAAGGTCCACGAGTCGTACTGATCCTGCACAAGTGGTTTATAATAACGTTATCAAGAGACCCCCCCTTTCTTTTTATTAACCGACAGCTTTGACCGGTTACCGCTGCCACGGTCAACCACAATCAACCACGGTCAACCACAGTCAACCACAATCAACCACGGTCAACCACAGTCAACCACAGTCAACCACGATCAACCATCAACCACAGTCAACCACAATCAACCACGGTCAACCACAGTCAACCACAGTCAACCACGGTCAACCACAGTCAACCACGATCAACCATCAACCACAGTCAACCACGGTCAACCACAGTCAACCACGGTCAACCACAGTCAACCACGATCAACCATCAACCACAGTCAACCACGGTCAACCACAGTCAACCACGGTCAACCACAGTCAACCACGATCAACCATCAACCACAGTCAACCACGGTCAACCACAGTCAACCACGGTCAACCACAGTCAACCACGGTCAACCACAGTCAACCACGGTCAACCACAGTCAACCACGGTCAACCACAGTCAACCACGGTCAACCACAATCAACCACCGGCAAACGGTCACCGATTTACTCTCATTCACAGACCTACTCTAGTTTGTTTGCAGATATTTGTCCAGTGAAGGGGGCACTACACAGACTCACACCATACCATCAGCAATCACACCGTACCATCAACACTCACACTGTACCATCAACACTCACACCGTACCATCAACGCTCCAACACAGACTCATACCGTACCATCAACGCTCCAACACAGCCTCACACGGTACCATCAACGCTCCAACAGACTCACACCGTACCATCAAAGCTCCAACACAGACTCACACCGTACCATCAACTCTCACACCGTACCATCAACGCTCCAACACAGACTCACACCGTACCATCAACGCTCCAACACAGACGTTTTGGACGTAACACCATTACCATTTTCTCTACAGTTATTTGAACATAATGTAAATCTACAGATGGTGTGAACCATAAGTCTCCTCTGGTTCTTCCACAGCCTCAACACCAGTCGTCCTAAATAAAGTCCCCAAAGTTCAACACAAGTTTTTTGATGCATCCTTTTATCTTGAAATACAGTTTAGTTTGGAGTGATCAATATCTAAAACATTTATAATATTGTGATTACATCTTAAAATAGAAATATAATACCTTTTACCAAATACAACATTGTAAATAGTTTTCCAAAACATACACCAGCTAAACAACAGTTACTAGCTTAGCATTTCAATGGCTACTCATGAGTAAACATTCACTGACGGTATCTCGACTCGAGGTCTCAGTGAAAGAACCAGTCTGTAAATAGTAGTAATCTTTAATAGTAATCTTTATTTATATACCGCCTTTTCACTGCAGATCTGAGTCTCAAAGCGGTTTACAAATGTTAATTTTGGGCATTTGTCTCTCACTCCACACAGAGATGGGAGCGGGGCCAGTACAGGAGGCGCATGCCAGAACTATTGGACATGTTTTTAGTGGTAGGGGAAACCGGAGTACCCGGAGGAAACCTACGCAGACACGGGGAGAACATGCAAACTCCACTCAGAAAGGCCCTGGTCCGACCGGGATTCGAACCCAGGACCTTCTTGTTGAGAGGCGAGAGTGCTATCCACTCAGCCATCGTGCCGCCCGGTATGGCCAGCAGGTGGCGCTGTGTCTGCATGGATCTCTACTCTGTTACATGTAGCATGTTCACAGGACGGTCCAAAGCTCCGCTCCACATGTGTCAAAGCTGACCTCTGTAGTTTAGCCTCAGTGGAATTTACACATTTCTGAATATTTAATGACCGCAATTTTGTGCCGACGCAAAATCGTGCCACCGTCAGTTGCATGGATCTAAAATGATAACGTTGGCATAGGTTGGCTCGTGCATATATATTTTTGGCGCTAACCATAAACAACCACTGCTAACGTGGCTAATGATACCAAGTTCTACCAAGACACATGTAAATCTGATCAAAACAGGCTGCACGGTAGGCGAAAATGGCGGACTGAGCACACCTACTTTTTGTTAGCTCTTGGTTTTCTTTTTCCAAAGTTGGTTTAGTGAATTACTTCCCAACGAACAACGTCCAAGGCTTTTTAAACAACTTCACAAACATCCTCTGACCAGCTGTCTAAATGAAAACCAACGCTCCTGATTTTCCACAGAAGCATCTTGACCGTGAGAACGCCATGGACTCGGAACAAAGAGAGGACGGGAAGACCCTCGCTACGCCGTCGAAAGTTAGAGCTCGTCAGACGCCGAAACATGATGAAGATACATCAGGCTCAGTGGTTCTTGCCGCTATCAACGAGCTCACTGAGAAGTTTGGTTCACAAGAAGACCGCATGAGAGAGTTCGATGCTAAGCTAACGCAAAACTGTGCGATGCTAGTTAGCCTCACAAAGACAACTGAGTCTAATGCAGCAGAAATTAAAGATGGCAAAGTAAGGACCACCCATGGTGACCATGTGGATCAGATGGATGACCATGTGGATAAGATGGATGACCATGTAGATAAGACAGATGACCATGTGGATAAGACGGATGACCATGTGGATAAGATGGATGACCATGTGGATAAGATGGATGACCATGTGGATAAGATGGATGACCATGTGGATAAGATGGATGACCATGTAGATAAGACGGATGACCATGTGGATAAGATGGATGACCATGTGGATAAGATGGATGACCATGTAGATAAGACGGATGACCATGTGGATAAGATGGATGACCATGTGGATAAGACGGATGACCATGTGGATAAGATGGATGACCATGTAGATAAGATGGATGACCATGTGGATAAGATGAATGACCATGTGGATAAGACGGATGACCATGTGGATAAGACGGATGACCATGTGGATAAGACGGATGACCATGTGGATAAGACGGATGACCATGTGGATAAGATGGATGACCATGTGGATAAGACGGATGACCATGTGGATAAGATGGATGACCATGTAGATAAGATGGATGACCATGTGGATAAGACGGATGACCATGTGGATAAGACGGATGACCATGTGGATAAGATGGATGACCATGTGGATAAGACGGATGACCATGTGGATAAGACGGATGACCATGTGGATAAGATGGATGACCATGTGGATAAGATGGATGACCATGTGGATAAGACGGATGACCATGTGGATAAAATGGATGACCATGTAGATAAGATGGGTGACCATGTGGATAAGATGGATGACCATGTGGATAAGATGGATGACCATGTGGATAAGACGGATGACCATGTGGATAAGATGGATGACCATGTAGATAAGATGGATGACCATGTGGATAAGACGGATGACCATGTGGATAAGACGGATGACCATGTGGATAAGAAGGATGACCATGTAGATAAGATGGATGACCATGTGGATAAGATGGATTACCATGTGGATAAGACGGATGACCATGTGGATAAGACGGATGACCATGTGGATAAGATGGATGACCATGTGGATAAGATGGATGACCATGTGGATAAGATGGATGACCATGTGGATAAGATGAATGACCATGTGGATAAGACGGATGACCATGTGGATAAGACGGATGACCATGTGGATAAGACGGATGACCATGTGGATAAGACGGATGACCATGTGGATAAGATGGATGACCATGTGGATAAGATGGATGACCATGTGGATAAGACGGATGACCATGTGGATAAGAAGGATGACCATGTGGATAAAATGCATAACCATGTGGATAAGATGGATGACCATGTGGATAAGACGGATGACCATGTGGATAAGACGGATGACCATGTGGATAAGATGGATGACCATGTGGATAAGACGGATGACCATGTGGATAAGATGGATGACCATGTAGATAAGATGGATGACCATGGGGATAAGACGGATGACCATGTGGATAAGACGGATGACCTTGTGGATAAGATGGATGACCATGTGGATAAGATGGATGACCATGTGGATAAGACGGATGACCATGTGGATCAGATGGATGACCATGTAGATAAGACGGATGACCATGTGGATAAGATGGATGACCATGTGGATAAGATGGATGACCATGTGGATAAGATGGATGACCATGTAGATAAGACGGATGACCATGTGGATAAGATGGATGACCATGTGGATAAGACGGATGACCATGTGGATAAGATGGATGACCATGTAGATAAGATGGATGACCATGTGGATAAGATGAATGACCATGTGGATAAGACGGATGACCATGTGGATAAGACGGATGACCATGTGGATAAGACGGATGACCATGTGGATAAGACGGATGACCATGTAGATAAGATGGATGACCATGTGGATAAGACGGATGACCATGTGGATAAGACGGATGATCATTTGGATAAGATGGATGACCATGTGGATAAGACGGATGACCATGTGGATAAGACGGATGACCATGTGGATAAGATGGATGACCATGTGGATAAGATGGATGACCATGTGGATAAGACGGATGACCATGTAGATAAGATGGATGACCATGTGGATAAGAAGGATGACCATGTGGATAAGACGGATGACCATGTGGATAAGACGGATGACCATGTGGATAAGATGGATGACCATGTGGATAAGATGGATGACCATGTGGATAAGACGGATGACCATGTGGATAAAATGGATGACCATGTAGATAAGATGGGTGACCATGTGGATAAGATGGATGACCATGTGGATAAGATGGATGACCATGTGGATAAGACGGATGACCATGTGGATAAGACGGATGACCATGTGGATAAGATGGATGACCATGTAGATAAGATGGATGACCATGTGGATAAGACGGATGACCATGTGGATAAGACGGATGACCATGTGGATAAGAAGGATGACCATGTAGATAAGATGGATGACCATGTGGATAAGATGGATTACCATGTGGATAAGACGGATGACCATGTGGATAAGACGGATGACCATGTGGATAAGATGGATGACCATGTGGATAAGATGGATGACCATGTGGATAAGATGGATGACCATGTGGATAAGATGAATGACCATGTGGATAAGACGGATGACCATGTGGATAAGACGGATGACCATGTGGATAAGACGGATGACCATGTGGATAAGACGGATGACCATGTGGATAAGATGGATGACCATGTGGATAAGATGGATGACCATGTGGATAAGACGGATGACCATGTGGATAAGAAGGATGACCATGTGGATAAAATGCATAACCATGTGGATAAGATGGATGACCATGTGGATAAGACGGATGACCATGTGGATAAGACGGATGACCATGTGGATAAGATGGATGACCATGTGGATAAGACGGATGACCATGTGGATAAGATGGATGACCATGTAGATAAGATGGATGACCATGGGGATAAGACGGATGACCATGTGGATAAGACGGATGACCTTGTGGATAAGATGGATGACCATGTGGATAAGATGGATGACCATGTGGATAAGACGGATGACCATGTGGATCAGATGGATGACCATGTGGATCAGATGGATGACCATGTAGATAAGATGGATGACCATGTGGATAAGATGGATGACCATGTGGATAAGATGGATGACCATGTGGATAAGACGGATGACCATGTGGATCAGACGGATGACCATGTGGATCAGATGGATGACCATGTGGATCAGATGGATGACCATGTGGATATCGTACACCGGCTTGGCCCGAAGGAGAACAGGAGAACATCATGGTCCAGTTTCCAAAACTACACCATAGAGACGCAGTTTGGAAGATGACAAAAGATTGGAGGATCTGTAAGAAAAGATAAGAGCGCTGGTTTGAGGTTTGACCTAACCCAAACCCTCACCAAGGAGGTCAAAGAGGCCCGAGAGGTACAATGGCCACGCCTTAAAGGGCCTATATCACGGTTTTTGACTTTTCTCTGCTTTAAACATGATTACAATGCTATTTGGCCTCATACACAAGCCCACAGTAGTTTATTCATTGATTCTGTCAATCTTTTCTAAGAGAACAATCTGTCTCCTTCCCCAGCGTGAGGCACAGAAACGCTCGGGTCCACTTCAGTGACGAAAACCACACTGATGACGCGCATGACCCCGTTTGCTTTGTATTTAAAATAGTTGTTAAATACTTTTGTCAAAACGGGGTAAACAATACACAATTAGTGTGCTGTTTTTTGTCAAAAATAATAAAAATAAAAATAAATTAAAAGCCGGCGGGAGGTGATCTGCGTCTGTGGTCTGGTCTCGCGGACACCACATAGAGCTGCTGTTTTTATGCTTTTGTCAGAAACTAAAAGTGTTAGGATCACGTCAACTTGAATGAAGTGTGTTATGGGTGTAAATATGTGACACACTATTTGGCCCTAAGAGGAAGAAAGCGGCTCAACTTTTTTCATCTGTTCATCTCATGGATCTATTATAATACCGGTTCATCTGCGACACTTCACTGAGACTGTTCCAGAACTACAGGGACAATGGAACTGGACTTACTCAAAGGCTGATCTGGAAACACGTTATTCCCACGGTAAAAGACGTAACTCGGACCCCCTTGATCTGTGAGTAGTGACGCTAACTCGCTGTATACTTCTGTAAACTAAATAACTAGGGTCTGATTGTGCATCGAGGACATAGGGCTCCATGTGACGGATTGTCTTTGTTGGAAAAAGTTTATTCTTATGTATGAAATTACTAAGTACAGGTGATAAACGACAAAAGCGTGATGCTACGTCAGCGTGCGGGCGGGGGGAGGCGGGTGAGGGCGGGGGGAGGCGGGTGCGGGCGGGGGGAGGCGGGTGAGGGCGGGGGGAGGCGGGTGAGGGCGGGGGGAGGCGGGCTCACAGGCAGAGGAGCAGACTCTTCTCTGGATCAGCTCGTTTGAGTCGAGGTGACGTCACCTCTATACAAGAGATGGCTCTAATCTCACAAGCTTTGATTGTTGTGTGGTGTATCATACACATTAATATCACACATGTGTAGAGGATTGAGTGTGAAACATGAAGAAAAGCGTGATATAGGACCTTTAAACAAGCACGTGAGGAAGGCAGAAGGCTTATCTCCGTGGGCCTCATGGAGATATCGACGGTCGTCGGGTCTAGAATAAAAACCTCTCAGTGTTGGGCGATTGTTGAGGGAGAAACCATGTTTACCTACACTACCTCAAAACCCTAAGCACCTGTTTTTTTTAACTTTGTTTCTTTGTTTTTGTTTTGCTGCAAGGTTAACCAGCAGATGAATGTTCTAAAAGCCAACTTAAGTCTTGTTTCATGGAATACAAGGGGTCTTAAAGACAATCTAAAAAGAAAAGCAATTTTTTGCACTGCAAAGGAGTTTGTCACTCTACTGTGTGCACTGGACGCCACCTACTGGACAGTGAGGAGATAAAATCCTCTTCAGCCATGGAAGAAATCTGTCTGCAGGAGTCGCCCTCTGCTTTCATAAATGCCCCGGTCATCTCATTCAAAGCAGACGATAATGGACATGGGTTGTCAGTTGTCATAAAAATTATAATGCAGAATCTTAACTCTGCCTCCCAAAACAGTTGTTACAAGGAGTCTCAGAAGCTGTTTCTGAAAATAAAAGGTTGTATCACACAGACCTGATTCTCTTCGGAGACTTCAATTTTGCACCGGATGATTATTTAGATCGTGATCTGTCAAAATTCACAGATATGCATTATAATATAACTTTATTAGAATTTAGTAACACTTTTTCATTGATAGATATTTGGAGAAAAACCCGACCGTAGACGATATTCATGGATTAAGCCTGATGGGATGGTTATGGTTAATTATCCTGAAGTGTGTAACCACGTCTCAGATGCAGCGTTCACTGATCACCGTCTCCTTAATCTTCATTTAAACCAAACAAAAACACCAACAACAGCAAAGCATACTGGAAATGTGCTGCAGGATACTGGAACACTGCAGCTTCATAACAGAAAACAGATATGATGTAAATATTGGTAAATACTGTTGAAGATGGGAATTCTTTAAATGGTCAGACAGATGTTGATACGTTTTGGGAAGCAGAGAAGTAAAACTTTAAGGGAACAGGAACTGGACGAATGTTGTAAGAAAACCCCAATGTTGGAATCGGACAGGACAGCGGACCACCAGCCGGGACTTTAAAGACATGGTGCAGATTGTAGATGTTGGAGTCGGAGGCTGCAGTTGAACAACTCTCTCTGAGGAAATCACCCAAGCATCACTTTTGGGAAGATATAAAAGACCTTCTTTTCTTTGCCCTACAGGAATGTATTAGATCCAAGTCTCTGACAAGTATGAAACACGCCGGGATGGCACTGACTCACAAAAGTGGTAAAGACAAAAGATAAACAATCTAAGGCCAAGAACTTTACTCAATGTCGATTATAACTTTTTGCTCATGCTATTGCTAACAGACTTAAAGAACTCACAAACTATTAGTGAGTCACAGTCTGCTTTTCTGAGAGCTCTGTCCATAAAAACATCAGACTGGGACTGGATTTATCAGATTATCCAGATAAAATTGAGGATGATGGATATATTCTTTTTCTTGACTTCTGTGAGGACCGAACATTTCTTTATGAGCGACACTTTGGTTTTGGAGACACTTACATATTGTGCAGGGATATCAACAGCTCGGTCTGTTGATATCAGAGATGTGACATTAAGAGTGGTGTTCCCAAGGATTCCCAGCATATATATAAAAAATATTTCTCACCTTTGGTGGTGAGAACTTAGGGTTCTGCGCAGTATCTTTGCTGTTCCTAGCACTGCACATTTCTGGACCCAGATGTCCGAGGTTGTTCCAGGGATCCGCTGTAACCTCTTCTAGCTTCGGGGTCACTGCCCCGAGTGCACCGATCACCACGGGCACTACTGTCACCTTTACCCTCCAGGCCCTCTCACTACTGTGACCTTTACCCTCCAGGCCCTCTCCAGCTCCTCTCTGAGACCTTGGTATTTCTCAAGCTTTTCATGTTCCTTTTTCCGGATGTTACCATCGCTTGGAATTGCCACGTCCACCACCACGGCTGTCCTCTGCCCTTTGTCCACCACCACGGCTGTCCTCTGCCCTTTGTCCACCACCACGGCTGTCCTCTGCCCTTTGTCCACCACCACGGCTGTCCTCTGCCCTTTGTCCACCACCACGGCTGTCCTCTGCCCTTTGTCTACCACCACGATGTCAGGTTGGTTCGTTACCATTCGCTCGGTCTGTATATATATATACAGTACCTTGCAAAAGTATTCGGCCCCCTTTAACCTTTCAACATTTCGCCACATTTCAGGCTTCAAACATAAAGATATATAAAAAAAAAATTTGTCAAGAATCAACAACAAGTGGGACACAATCGTGAAGTGGAACGAAATTTATTGGATAATTTAAACTTTTTTAACAAATAAAAAACTGAAAAGTGGGGCGTGCAATATTATTCGGCCCCCTTGCGCTAATAATAATAATAATAATAATAATAATAATAATAATAATAATGCATGGGTTTTATATAGCGCTTTTTTGGACACTCAAAGACGCTTCACATGTGTCATTATTCATTCACTCCATACACGGTGGTGATAAACTACTACTGTAGCCACAGCTGCCCTGGGGCACACTGACAGAAGCGAGGCAACCAGTATGCGCCATCGGCCCCTCCGACCACCACCAACCATTCACACACACACCAGACTCATTCCAGGCAATGGGGGTGAAGTGTCTTGCCTAAGGACACAACGGCAGTTTGGCACTTTACAGCCGCAGCCGCCCCACTGGTGGCGCTACTAATACTCTGTAGCGCCACCTTTTGCTGCAATTACAGCTGCAAGTCTCTTGGGGTATGTCTATCAGTTTTTCACATCGAGAGACTGGAATTCTTTCCCATTCTTCCTTGCAAAACAGCTCGAGCTCAGTGAGGTTGGATGGAGAGCGTTTGTGAACAGCAGTCTTCAGCTCTTTCCACAGATTCTCGATTGGATTCAGGTCTGGACTTTGACTTGGCCATTCTAACACCTGGATACGTCTATTTGTGAACCATTCCATTGTAGATTTGGCTTTATGTTTTGGATCATTGTCCTGTTTGAAGATAAATCTCTGTCCCAGTCTCAGGTCTTTTGCAGACTCCAACAGGTTTTCTTCCAGAATGGTCCTGTATTTGGCTCCATCCATCTTCCCATCAATTTTAGCCATCTTCCCTGTCCCTGCTGAAGAAAAGCAGGCCCAAAGCATGATGCTGCCACCACCATGTTTGACAGTGGGGATGGTGTGTTCAGGGTGATGAGCTGTGTTGCTTTTACGCCAAACATATCGTTTTGCATTGTGGCCAAAAAGTTCGATTTTGGTTTCATCTGACCAGAGCACCTTCTTCCACATGTTTGGTGTGTCTCCCAGGTGGCTTGTGGCAAACTTTAAACCAGACTTTTTATGGATATCTTTGAGAAATGGCTTTCTTCTTGCCACTCTTCCATAAAGGCCAGATTTGTGCAGTGCACGAGTGATTGTTGTCCTATGGACAGACTCTCCCACCTCAGCTGTAGTTATCTGCAGTTCATCCAGAGTGATCATGGGCCTCTTGGCTGCATCTCTGATCAGTCTTCTCCTTGTTTGAGATGAAAGTTTGGAGGGACGGCCGGGTCTTGGTAGATTTGCAGTGGTCTGATACTCCTTCCATTTCAATATAACTGCTTGCACAGTGCTCCTTGAGATGTTTAAAGCTTGGGAAATCTTTTTGTATCCAAATCCGGCTTTAAACTTCTCCACAACAGTATCTCGGACCTGCCTGGTGTGTTCCTTTGTCT